GCCTTCACTCGACCAGTAGTGTCCGAGTAGAGAGCCTGTATAAGGTTAATGCGCTTCTCTGGTACACCTTTTAATGACTGACACAGCAACAGAACCGCACAACCAGCAGGGTCAAATGCGCCCTCAGGTCGAGAAGTACTATCGTTGTATGGCGTCTGAACGTGAGAATTTGTTCTGGAACCTGACGTAGTGTGAATATCTGGTCTATGCAGCCACATCCAGGTCTGGAACCAGCCTGTTCTTTAGTCTGCTCTTCACGGGGTTTTATTGAGGCCAATATTTTAGATACTAAATTGACTGTCACAAGACTTTGTAGACTGGGACAATCAGGGATTGACATCAGCTGGGTGAGATTACGTCCAGTTCCCAGATTATACCCAAGATCTCCGTCAATCTAAGCGCCGAAGCACCCCCCTTTGGGTTTCCTATAGCTTTCCCAACTAGAGTCGGAAGACTTAGTTGATTTGCCACTCAGGTTGACTGGAGATCGTGCGCGAGCGATTTCTAATACCGGTTTTCGTGATAAGGAGGGACAGTTACCTATCACTGCTACCTTTTCCATCTCTCCCGTTTCCGCCACCAATCACGCGACCATTCCTTAGGCTTTGTATCAGCCTGCGCTTAAGCTGATTTCGCTCTTCATGTTCAGAGACAGGTGAGATGAGCTTTTGAGCGTCTATCAGTTCGGTAGATACTATTGGGATCCACGGCTTCTTCCCAGCCTTATGGTTTACCATACTAGCAGATAACACTGCTGTTTCCACAACCTTTTGGGTATCATCCCAAACTGCCTCGAGATAGGAATCACTTACATAGCCCCCTATCTGTTTTTCTAATTGTCACTGAAATATATTCTTAGCTGTGCTATCATTAAGTAGAGCCCTAAAAGGTTTTCTTGCGATGTCTTTCCTACGTCCAGTAAGTCACAAGTACACGCTCGCACTAAAGATTGATGTGAATCTAAACATGTGCACCAGAACGAGTGACAGTCTTCTATCGAACCCCTCCATCGGTGACTGATGGCGATGTGATCTAATTGGGACGACTTTGGGGGTCGCCAAGTCAAGAGATGCTTCTCCTTATGCTTAAGGTTAGTATTATCTAGAAATGCACCCAATTCAAGCTTTCTTTACTGCATACTTTACAAATGGATAATTTTCCAATGTCTAACCTCAAAAATGTATGCACCGATTTTCGACCAATTTACATCGTTCAAAAATAACTCAAGATGTGGAAGTTATCACGATGATACTCGTAAAGCATAATCAAACCATAGTATTCAGTTTGGATATAGCTAAATCATTCAGATTATAATCATTGTGCCCGAATACTACATTTAACAGTGATTCAAATCAGGTCACACGTAATAACCTTGTTTGTCGGAAGCGTTAACATGATGTTAGTTGGTAGATTACATATTCACTTACGAAAAGTATTTAGGAACTCTGCTAACAAATAACTAACGCAAGTCGAACACTAGCCATCCCAAGAACTTAGTTATTTAGAACGCTATTCAAAATTCTGGATTGCCCACAGGACCTAATAACACACGAAGTAAATCATACGTTCTCATATAAGTGGAAAATAAAACTATCCGTAGAAAATTGCAAGTTATCAGCAAACAAGTAATAACTCAACTTTAAAAAAACTGAAGGGATTTAACGACCTACTAATACTAGAGGAGAACAAAAAATTCATTTAAACTTTGTATTTGGTAAATCAATGTTAAGTGGACACAAACGTGAAATGAGGTCTCATTAGGGAATAAACAGTAAACTTATCTGAAATATATGTACAACGTTCGAACAAACAGGTTGAACAGAGTTAGTAGTCTTCAGCCCCCTCGGGAGGACGTCGGGCGGCGCTGAATGGTGAAGTGTTGCGCTTTGTGGACTTTGAAGAGTGATCGTAACGGTGACGATCGTAAAGTTTTCGCAGACGTGAACTGGACCTAGATCTACCATATCGCCGCCTTTCATCCCGAAAATCATGTCTGGATCGAAACCGACTGCCGCCACTTTCATGGCGACCATGCCGGGAAGCACTGGAGTGTACATGAGAACTGAGAAAATAGACAAGAAAAAAGACAACAAATTAAGAATGGACGAATATATTTGACGATAATAAAAAAAAGACTTAGAATTCACCTTGCGTATATCTTAATCGAACTTTAAATAAACTACTTAGGGCTTTAAAAGTAAATATACCTTGTGGAATCGATTGCCTCCGCAATAGACGATGACTCCAAAATTACCTAATAAGCGGAATTAAAATCTGCAATAAGTACCTTTTTTAAATTATCCCAATCGAATCACATTAATTCATCGAGGAACTGTGATAGTACTAACCACAGTTTATGTTTAGAAAAAAGAACGTACTTTCGCTCTACACTCCTACCACGGCTGCGATGACGATCACGATCCCGAGTAATAGGAGAGCGGTCAACTGGAGATCGCTTATCCCGTCGTCCATAACGAGAAGAGGAATTCGAATGCTTTTCACTGTATTGTCTTAAATAGTCACGAATTTTTGCATAGCCAAGGTGCATTTTACCAGACAAATGCTCTTCAACTCGTTGAGGTGCATCGTCTTTGATTCTGAAGGCTCCACAAATCTCACAAACTTCCAATTCCTTGGTCTAAAAAACGAGAGAAGTAAGGTATTATGAAAAAAATGTTAACATACTTGAGTCATTCCCGGACGTGCATCACCCTCGAGCTGGGATCGCTCGAATTTCAACTGTTCACACAATTTAAGGACTCCCTGTGCTTGATCAACCTTTCCTTCGGTTCCCAATTCCTCGGCTTGTTTAACTAAGTCATTTATCCTTTTGGTAAGGGCGGCAATCTTTTCCTTCTTTTCACTAGCTCCTATTGGATCTGGATTGTTAACACACTTATTGACTGCCAGGCGCTCATGTCCTCGTCGAATTCTCTTTTCAACGTCCTCCAAAAGCTGGGTAAGATAGTGAACAAAATCTTGCTCGTACCCCATCTTTCCGAAACGAGAACTCTTTTTATATGCTTCTCTCATACGCTCATCATGAGACTTAGGACACTGACCCAAATCCGTCTTTGTATTGACAAATAAATCATGAGGACAAAAGCCACACAAATAGAACTTGCATACATCATCATCAGACCAATGAGGACCACCAGAGCTCTCACCATTACAAGCATTCCTATTTTTACCCATTAGCTCATCCAGCAGTGCTTTTTGAGCGGCAAGAGCCATTTTTGACGAAATGGATAACTAGAAAGGAGTAAGAAGTACGTTGAAGTTAATCAATGAAATACTCGCCTAAAACGACAGACGATAAATAAAGACTTATGAAAGATTAACTCAACCCGGTTCAGAGCATAATCTATACATTAGAAAATCAACACTAGTTAGAGCTGCTAGACAGCCTAAGAATTACGCAAATCTTAGTAAAAGGAACCGAGAAGTCAGTTAGCCATCACTAATATTTCAGCGAGGTTACTCGGCATAGATTCACAGCACCGCAGCAGTGAAAATGCTCAACTCTTGCAGTAACATTATACTGTCCAAGAAAAATTTCTTGCTTTCTGATATCAGTTACGTTTAGTTGAGGATTTAAAAAAAAGACGGAGACATTTTTCGTACAGTACGAAGCAAAGAAGCCTTTTTTAAAAACTAGTCAAAACTAACTAGACCTGTTAGTTGCAAAAAGGCATATTATGTATGTAATTGCTGATAATATTGTGAGGCGCCGTATGATACAATTGAAGATGTTACTAAATGAACTTTTAAGCTGACTAAAAACTTAAAATTCAAATTAGTTACCACAACGATAAGAAATCAAACAGGATTGCATGGATGTAAATCCGTCAGAAAACTGAGATATATTCGCAGCAAGATACCCGTGTAAAAAAAGGAACTGCTTAAATTGAGTAAATATATTGATGCTATGTAAAAAATAACTTTGGAAAGCCGCGGAAACTGTCATCCAATAAGTCCATTAAGATCCAGAAGATAACTACGACCGCTAAGTAATTGACCAAGTAAATTTGAAGTCGAACATAGTGTGCTGATAAGTTGGATGACTAAACGATGCTTAAGATTCTGGCCATAAAACTGGTGTGATCAGCTGATAATGAGCAGATGACTCACTGATGTCCATGTTGAAAGAACTGTTTATCGGTCGAGTCTAAGAGAGTTACTCTTGCATATTTATATGAGCAATCTATATAAACTTCTATCTATATAAACTTCAAGAATTCCAGGATTTTGTTTCCAAACAACGGATTAAGGGCACACATTAGATTGACATACTTAATCAAATCTAGCCCCCTGGCAATTCAGTTAAGCGCAATGCAACACTTGTGGAACCATTCAATAGAATAATAAGAGACGCTTCTGTAGGAAAAAGCTTAATTAGACAGAAACCTTATCACAAAACTGAACATGACGTCAACCTCAACATATGCATGTCATTCCTGAAAACGTCGATATCAAGTGCTTAACTAGGCAATGCGGAATTTCGGAATAGCTATTAGATACGGACAGTAATCCCGAGTCCAATTTCAGGATACCTGTAGTTCGGAATAGTTCCTGAATCGCCAGAAAGTAATAAACTTAAGGATCTCCTAGTTTCACGGAATATACCAGGATTTGCTACAATCGGAAACATAAGCAGATGGTTGTTATTGATCAGACAGTATGGATATATTTTCACCAACCTTAAATGGGAAACTAAATTCCAAGAGGAAAACTGCGTACAGCCTACCAGGACCACTAACCCACGTATAAACGAACGAGCAACAGCAAATATGTCTCCCCACCCTATTAACGTATTGATTAAAACACTGGGTTCGAGGTTTGTAAAAAAAATTCAGAAACCAATGATTTTGGTATTTGGTGTACTAGTATTAGATTATTATTACAAAGTTTACGATTTATACAATGACCTTGAACACCAAAGGAGGGAGTAACTTGAAATGGGTGGTAACAGTTAGTTTCATGAAGATTTCCAGTTTCGTATGACCTTCAATTGTGCTTTAATGAAAGATGAAATAATATATCGTCGTTCTCTAGTAAGTCGCAAACTTCAGGTTAAAAAATTTTAGTACGTCGGATCCTTCCCTGTTGATGAGCAGGACAATGCATGCAGAGCCCAAAAGGTCCAAAGGGAGCTTGAGTCGTTAAGAGTATGTTTTTTTACAAAATCAATAAACTTAAACATTAGTGCTTCACACGCAGCAAATCTGTGATTGTGTGCGTCTCCATCAGTGGCATAAAAATATCCTCAGACGATTTGAAAGTGAGTTTAGTAGACACCATATATCTTTCAACAGATCGTTTATATGGCTCATGCTCTTCGCAGGATATCTTACGCTACTTGTGATGCCGCTCACAAACAGGTTGCTTTCTTGGCAAGGGAACCAACAGGGTCTGCTAATATGCAGTATTGCCACGTGTTTGTTACGGGATCGTCATTTGAAGTAAGTTTTTATTGCATGTTATATCTCAAATAAAGCCTCCCTAATTCTGACACAATGCTTCATGGCAAAATTTGCGTGCAATCAAATGGTTTCCGACATCAAGAAACCAAATTCTTTTGTGGTTTTGTATATTTTCAATAAATCAATCGTTTACTTTCACAGATTAATTAATGCGTAAATACGTTCAGATGCTTTGTATCGTATACATACGTCCATTTTCGTTGACTGACTAGTTTTAATATTAGAAACCAATCTTTCACTCCTTTCCAAAGTAGTAATCAATCCTAACTGAACTACTTTTCGTATCTGGCTATATTTCGATGTGACATCTGACAAAATCTCAAACATTTCTTTCGTATATCTAAAGTCTGCTATCACTGAGTAACAGGCCTCTTTAACCTAGCGACCAGTTAAATAATCGTCTAAATGGTTTGTGTGAAATCTAGCCATCGACAAATTAGCTAGGTTAGCTAAATCCGCCCTATGACCAAGAAATTTGAAACAACTAACTCAAAGTATCCGTTTTCGTTACAGTTCCAAGTATATTTCTTCATGTGTGTTTTTGTATGTTCCCAAACCACTTGAATAAAGACTCGTTTTGATCATTGCTCTTTTTTAGTTAACCACTGTCAACTTCAGAACAATCAATTCCACTTAACTAATGTCATTTTTCACAAACGACCATTGCTTGAAATTGAATTACAGGTAGGCCTCAGACCTCACGATAAATATATATCCTCCAAACAGTCGGGCTTTTCGAACAACCCTGCCATCCCAACGTCGAATTGTTACCTAGTTTTTCAACTCTAAAATTTTTGTGTCAGTGGATTGATCAGAGTTGCTATCAATAGTAGATAAAATACTCGCTCTTTTGCAAGTCCTAGGAGATGGATATACCTTCTGACGTCCGACAATAGTTGCTTTTCTTGACTATAAGGCGGCATTCGGCTTTATTGGTCATGAGATTCTGTGGAAGTATCCCCCATTGAAAGGTCTGTTGTAAAAGTACATTCACCATATACAGAGGCTCTACTCGACACGATTGGTCGGACCAGAGCTTATGGGTATCAGTCATCAAAATTAATTACTTCAAGTAGTGTTCACATTGTCCACTTTCTCAATTCTTATTTAAATATTTTATAGACATTCATTTAGAGATAACTCATCGTCTAACTTTCTTATCAGCGATCTGTCAGGAGGTCATTTGTTAACCTAGAATGTGTAGATGACATTGTCCTATCTGGTAAAGACACTAAGATAGTCTTATGATCACCTTAAGCTACAATGACTGGCGGGTAGCTAAAGCAAAAGCAATCAGTCAGTGAGTTACAACGTAGGACTTCGTATGTACGTACGTACGTACATCAGTTAAAGTTGCCATACCCCATTAGCACAGAGATGTAATTGTCAATTCACTACCATAGTAGTAGAGATAGTAGAAGTATTAACAGTAATTGGAGAGATTAGGATTCGAAGATATTCAAGAAGTATAAGTCAATGAGATAACTTTCGAAGGAGAAAGATAGAGGTGATGAGAAATTAAGAAGTTTAGGATTCGAGAGAACACAACCAGTGGATGCGCCTGCGCCCTTGCAAACGATTTTGAGCCATGTCATTCAAGGTCTCTAACGATTGGTGACTGTCGTTTCACTGACCCAAACCAGGTAGCCTACATCTACCAACGCGACTCAGTCCACTTCTCAGTGGCTTCATGGATTTGTGCCATGTTTTGGTTTGGCCGCCCCTTGCTTTCTTCTAACCTACACCTAACGACAGCATTACTTACTCGGTTGTCCTACGGTACACGAGCAGTGCTCTGGAGATCTATGATTGAATACAAGTAACCGACAAATATCTTCTACTCTAGCTGGCCATGTTTCGCATCCATCCAGGTCACTCAGACCAGTCCTAAGTCTATTTCCTTTTCAGGTTCCTCACGAAGCACCCTTCCACGATTGGGGCAGTCTGGTAGGGACAACCGCCCTCATACACGCAAAAGCACACGTGACGAAATCGGTTACAATCAACTCCTTTTACACCTAATAACTCTTTTATCTCCACGATCAACCCTTCTTCTGTTCGTTTGTCACCCCGTGCCGCTGATGCAAACGATTCGACCTCACGAAACGTTATTCCTGGTCTCCTGAAACCCCACTCTAAACTGCATGTGGGGGCTTTTAATGTTCAAACCTTGTGTCAAATAAGGTATATTATTAAGTCGTAGGGCAAACTAGCTCTTAGACTGGATCCCAGTAGACAGTTGTTTGTGCCTCTTTGTTGTTTCTGCCTACTCTCCCACTGACTGCAACTCGGACGAGATAAAAGATCAGTTTTACAGTCAGTCAGTCAGATGCAACGTAGAACTTCGTACGTAAGTACATCAGTTCATGTCGTCATACCACATCAGCACAGAGAAGTAATTGTCAATTCAAATCCAATAGTATTAGAGATAGTAAGGGATTTAGAAGTAATCGGAGAGGTTAGGATTAGAAGATACTATTCAAGAAGTATGATTAAATGAGAAAAGTTTAGATAGTCAAAACTAGAGGGGTTGAAGAATCCAGAAGATTAGGATTTGAGAGAACACAAAGAATGAATGCACCTGAACCATTGCGAACGATTTTGAGCCATGTCATTCAAGGTCTCTAACCATCGATTATTATCATCTCGCGGACCCCAACCCGGTAGTCGACAATTACCGACATGGCTCAGTTCATTTGTCAGTGACTTCATGGATTTCTGTCATGTTTTGGTTTAGCCGCCCCTAGCTTTCTTCCAACCTACTCCTACACCACAAAATAAAGCTCTTCGAGGCAGTCGGTGGTTCGGCATACGCAACACATGTCCCAACCACCTCAACTGGTGAAGTTTCACCACTTCATCTATTGATCTGCCATCCTTGCCTAGTACTCGTTTCCTAACGACAGCATTGCTTACTCGGTTGTCCCACGGTATACGAGCAGTGCTTCGAAGACACCTATGATCGAAAACCAGTAACCTACGAATATCTCCTACTCTCACTGGCCATGTTTCACAGCCATATAGGAGAACGGAGCGAACTGCTGCACAGTACACTCGTCCTTTGATTAGAGAACGGATATCACGCCTACGCCATAAGTAACGCAGGTTGGCAAAAGCCAATCGAGCCTTCTGTATCCGAGCTGAGATTTCGTCAGTCACCAGGCCATCGGCACTGATGAGACTCCCAAGATAAGTGAAGCGGTCTACTCGCTCGACTACTTCACTCCCTATCACTAGTTCAGGTGCCAATTCAACCCAGTCTTGAAGCAACATTTTGCATTTCGAGGGAGAAAACCGCATTCCGAACATGCGTGCATTGTTGCTCAGGGTAGTCAGAAGACTCTGCATTTTGTCAGCGTCTTCACCAAGTAGGACTATGTCATCGGCATATTCTAAGTCAATAAGCGAGCCACTTGGTAGGGTTAGGGTTAGTGCTTGTATAAGGTTGATGTACTTATTTGGTACACCTTTCAATGACAGACACTGCCACACAACCTCACGATCCACTGAGTCAAATGCCGCCTTAAGGTCTAGGAAAACAACTATTGTAGGACGCCCAGATTCTACCTAAGTTTACAGAAACATTTTAAACCTTCAAAACATTAAGCGCTCTGATATAGTAATAGTGGCTGGTAACTTCAATGCTCAAGTAGGTAGACTCAGTGAAAGGGAAAGACACCTGAGAGGATCTTATGGTGTCGCAGCTGCTCAAACATATAGTGGCGACCAACTGCTGCAGCTATGCTCAAATAACCGCTTATTTAAAGCAACTACTAACTTTATGTATAATGAAAAACATCTTTTCACATGGCGACCCCTGAAGTTGCCCCAACGATGAACGCAACTAGATCACATTGCTACCAGCCACCGAAGGAGAGGTCTCAATGGTGACAGCCGCTCATACTGGAGCTGTTTTTTAGATTCAGATCATGCTCTAGTGGTTAATTCAAGTGGTGTCCGTCAGGGATGTCCACTTTCACCAGAGAAGCACATTAACCTTATACAGGCTCTCTACTCGGACACTACTGGTCGAGTGAAAGCTTATGACGAACTTTCATCGAAATTCATTACTTCTAGTGGTGTCCGTCAGTGCTGTGCTTTCTCTCCATTCTTGTTTAACTTTGTCGTAGACATACCTTTAGAGATAACGTCATCTTCATGTGGCTTTTCAGGAGTGGACCTTCTACCAGGAGATTCACTGATTGACTTAGAATATGCCGATGTCATAGTTCTACGTGGTGAAGTCGCTGACAAAATGCAGTCTTCTGACCAACCTAAGCAACAATGCAAGCATGTTCGGGATGCGATTCTCACTGTCCAAATGGAAAGTGTTACTTCAGGATCAGCTTGTATTGGTACCTGATTTAGTGATAGGGAGTGAAGTGGTTGATCGTGTCGACCGTTCCACTTATCTGGGGAGTCTCATCAGTGCAGATGGCCTGGTGTCTCACGAAATCTCAGCACGGATATAGAAGGCTCGATCGACTTTTGCCAACCTGCGTCGTTAATCGCGTAGGCGAGATATCCGTTCGGTGACCGAATGATGAGTTTACTTCTCAGTAGTTCTCCTCATCCTACTTGATGGCTCTGAAACATGGCCTGTTAGAGTAGAGAATATTTGTAGGTTGCTAGTTTTCGATCATAGGTGTCTCCGAAGCATTGCTCATTTATTTTGCGGCTGTCGAGTAAGTAATTCTCTTGTTAGGAAACAGGTGCTAGGTAAGGATGGCAGATCAATAGATAAACTATTGAAACTTCATGAGTCAAGGTGGTTGGGAGATGTGCTACGTATGCATAACCACCGACTACCTCGACGATCCATGTTTTGTGATGTAGGGGTAGGCTGAAAGGAAATTAGTGGCGACCAAATCAAAATATATGCACGGACTGAGCCATGTTAGGTGTAGACTACCTGGTTTGGGTCAGTGAAACGACAGTCACCAATCGTTAGAGACCTTGAATGACATGGCTCAAAATCGTTTGCATGGGCGCAGGCGCATCCACTGGTTGTGTTCTCTCGAATCCTAAACTTCTTAATTTCTCATCACCTCTATCTTTCTCCTTCGAAAGTTATCTCATTGATTTATACTTCTTGAATATCTTCGAATCCTAATCTCTCCAATTACTGTTAATACTTCTACTATCTCTACTGCTATGGTAGTGAATCTTTATCAGCTTAGGTGGCCGGGCGATGTTTCACCTATGTCCGCCCACTAACTACTAAGATAGTTGATATTTTGTGGAGTAAGAGTTGGTTGGAAGAAAACTAGTGGCATCCAAACCTGAACATGACACCTCTCCATTAAGTCACTGATAACTGAACTGAAGCATGATGAGCATCTATCACTTCAGTAAATTTCACCCAAAATCCACTGATTCTCCTTGAACTTTAATTCCGTAGTAGATATCACTGCTGATTCCATAGCTTATTGGATGTTCCAAGCTATTTCAAGTTGGGTATCACTTAAATAGCTGAATTACTTTTTTTAGTTTTTCCCGATATATGTTCCTGACTTCTGATCATTAAGTTGGATTCTAAGGTGTTTTATTCCTTTGGCTTTTTTTCGTCCAATAAGCCTCAGACAAATACGTGTTCGTACCAGAGCATGACATTAGTCCAAACACGTGCTTCAGGATGAGCGACAGTCTTCTGCCAAACCTTGCCGTTGATGGCTGATGTTTTGGTCTTCTTGAATTCATGTAAGGGCCATTCTGTTAAACGATATTTTTCCTTATGCCTAAAGTTGGTGCTTGTTAGAAATAGACGGTTTTCTGAGCATAGCTGCAGCAAGTGCTCGCCATTATCTGTTCGACAAGCCGCGGCCCCATAAAATCCACCAGGTGGCTTTCTGTTCCGCCTAATCTACCTACCAGGGCATTAATCGTTAGCCGCTATTAATACATCAGAGCGCTAAGCTTTCTAAAGATTGGAGAGCTTTCCGTAAGATTCATCTTTCACCTATCTGAACTGCAATCAGTGGAAGCGTAGGCAGAAACAATAATGAGGCAACGGCAAGTGTCTCTATTTTGTGGGTTGTACTATCCTATTTAGTCAAACAACGCACAAGCAACTGTCTACTAGAATTCAGTCAAAGAGAGTTATTTCTGCTTTAGAACTTAATGCTAGGCCTACACTAACAAGGCCATGGGGAGCAGAAGTGGGGTTTCCAGATACACGGAGGGTAAATCTTGATGGTTCTATATATTGACAATGTGAGGTCCAATAACTGACTGTACTCGGACCCTGTATGTGCGTTTCAGTGACTCAACATACATCAGTGGAGCGAGATTCTAAAGTCCTAGTTCAAGAAGCCTATTGACCTATCTGGCATAACGATCAAACATTCATAGCTCCAAAAAATAGTATATAGAGGGGTCCCAATGTATCAGAAATAACGTTTCGTGTACTCAAATCGTCATCATTAGCGATGCGAGGTGATAAAGGTATACGAGAGGGGTTAGTTGTGGAGACGATAAAATTACTAAGAGGTGGGTTAGGGATTTGATTGGGAGAAAGTTGATCTCGTGTGCTGTGAAGGGTATGTGGGCGAATGCCACTTTCCGACTCCCCCCACTGTGGAAGGATATTTTATCTTGAGTCACCTAAAAAAGGGAGTTGGGTCATTGTTGGTCTTAACGACCTGGGAGCATAACGGTAGGGTGTAAGGGACGATTGTTGAAGGCCGGTATTGCCTGTCTTTTTTATGGGGAGTTTTGGATGTGTTATTCCTGTTTTTCAAAAGACCTTATCGCCGGATACGGAAATCCGTTGGGTAAGGTGAGGTGTGACACTTTGAAGTTGGAACTTTTATAATTCCTTGCTGCTTTGGATCTTATCGTTCTCCAATCAACCTGCCTGACATGGTAGGATCTAAAGGATCATGTCATCCCCCAAATATAACTCGGTTGAGTCATCGCAATAGACAAACATGACTACCACATCAATGTGGCATATATATATATATATATGTTTGTTATTACAATTGCATTCTAATCATCCATCTTAGCACACTCAATAAAAAAACCCGCTTAATCTGTAAACTACTTTTGCATTATTTTTTGGTTATGTATGAGTCATCAACCACTTTTGTTGCTCTTGCTTTCTAATATGCTGTATCATTTATCTGTTCTAACTACAAAACTATTTTCAAATATTAGTTTCTGATCGCTGTGTTACCCAAACACAAAACACTTTGATCATATTCTAAAACACATAAATCAATAGTATTTAACTTCGATAAATATTGAATTATGTGCATTTTTGTTACGAAACATTCTTGAAATGAACTTCGAAATAACATGTTCAACGAAGTACTGGAGAAGAACAAAACAACCTGCTCGTTGTATGTAAGAAATCCGCTTCTTGCTATCGTTAATGGTTACTGGCTTTGTTCAGAGTTAATCTATAAATTTTTCTGTTTCTCTTAGTGTAAAGATTTTTTCTGTCTTTTATATTGTGTCCTGTTCACATTTTATTTATTTTTAGCAGTGAACAGCTTTCCATCATGCTTTGCATCATAGCCTAAATTAACTTCTCAGCTGATAGCCACCTCAGTTTTTATCAAATTTTTTGCGCTAAGATTCTTATGGCTTCGACTGATATGAGAAGCTGTTCTTTTTGGCATTTGAGGTGCCTATTTGTTGTGAAAGTAATATTTTCGAAAGTTTAGTTCGTGCTTTACAATGTCGTAATTTGTGTCCAATTATAGAAATGTTCACCCTCTGATGATAGATTGATTAAGATATTTTTGTGAGATAGATAATCTGACTACCACTTGTATTACATTTATTGGATCTAACTAATCCTTTCCTTTCCTTAATTTGTCAGTCAATTAAAACGTAGGACTTCGTACGTACTTACGCATGTACATTAGTTCAAGTTGCCATATCACATTAACACGTAAAGATCAAACTGTAAAATCAAATCCTATCGTAGTATATGTAATAGACGTAATAGAGGTGATAAAGATTAGGTTTCGAAGATATGATTCGAGAAGTATATCCCAGTGGAATCAATGGTGAAAAATGGAGAGATAAAAAGTGTCATAAGGAATCCAGAACACAAGCATTTGACAGAAAACAAAGATTGGATACGCATGCTCCATGTCATTCTCGGTTTATAACCATCGATTACTATCATATCGCTGATCCAAACCTGGTAGTCTACACCTAACATGGCTCAGTCCGTGACTTCATAGATTTCTGTTATATTTTGATTTGGGCGCCCCTAGTTTTCTTTCAGCCTACCCCTACATCACAAAACATGGATCGTCGAGGTAGTCGGTGGTTATGCATACGTAGCACATCTCCCAACCACCTTGACTCATGAAGTTTCAATAGTTTATCTATTGATCTGCCATCCTTACCTAGCACCTGTTTCATAACAAGAGAATTACTTACTTGTTAGTTAAACTTTAATCAATGTGAATTTTAGTCTTAATAATTTATGAGTTTATCGCTTTTGTCTATAAATAATAGTTATATAATGTACCCTAACTGTCGTTGGAAAATGCTTGTCAGTACATTACTCGATTTTTTGCTATCCAATTACTTAATTTTATGTTTTCTGAATCCAAGTATTTAACTAGCTGTGAATGGGTATAATTTAGGTAAATAGGCTTTGATATAGTTCTATGATCTTCACCAGATATTAAAGGGTGACTCAACTATTTTCGTGATTTAGTGAAACTGATTGTTGTGCTATGTACTTGTTTGTTAAAAACAGGCGGAAGAATTAAATCGATTAATTGGAAACGCTTTCAAATTTGCCTATGTTCGACAGCGCCTTATCAAACTTCAACAAACTGGAAAACATGATTTTTCCACTCCAGTAAATATACCTCAACTTAGCGATTGTCATCCTATTTGGCTTCCTCAAACAGAAGGAAATTCCATTAGTCTTTCTTTGTTGAATACTCTTAAACTACCCTCACCTCCAAAGTTCCCTCCCTCAACTTCTGTCGAAAAAGGAACTACAGCTGAGCGGCAAACTAGTCTGTCATCTTCTGGGATCCATTACACCAATGCAAATATTATTTCAACGTGTAATGATCCTGTTGCTAGTACCAGCACTGTTATGTATACTTTGTGCCATGATTCACTCGAATCATCTACTGTAAATATGTACAAAAAAGATGCCGTTAAACACGAATCTTTACCTGTGACAGTAGAAAATCCTACAACATCTTCTTCTTCGTCGGATAACGATCCTAACCAACTTTCTGTTCATTCAGATTCTGTGCTCATCAGGGATAAAGAAGGACTAACTAACAACAGACAGTCTAATAAAGATGTTAGTGAATTGGAGAAAAAGTAAGTGAATTGTCTTATCAAAATTAATAGTGATAGTTCATTGTTTTGCATTTTGTTTGCATTCGTGATGCATTGCTTAGTTTTGATATATATATTATCTGTATACGGATGAAAAGAAATCATTGACCTTTACAAATAGATATTCGAAACAAGTGTTTTCTTGTACAAATGGTGATTCATTGGCGATAAAAAAAATCAACGGATAAAAATGTTATATGCTAGTTACCATACTAGTTGAGAGAGAGAGAGAGAGTAAAAGGTTTTTATTTGTTATAGTAATATTCATGGGAATTATAAATCATATATTTTATTCCTTCTTCTATATACACTATTTTATATAATGGTTGAACACGAAACGTATACTTATACCTCAATTTTAAGAAATTGTTTTTAGAAAATTTATTTTCTTTAACTATCTTATGTCGCCATTTGGATACAAGTTCAGAAGGTTTGTATTTCACAGGAAATAATAGTTTTATTTCGATATTGTGTATATCTATTTTTGATTTAAATAAGTCTGATTGTTTTGAGGTTGATAAGTTCTAGGTATGATGAAATTTACTCACCGAGTTCGCGTATTTTTTTAGTTAATCGTCTACAATGATAGTTTTCGTTCTCATCAGCCTCTTGTGACAACAGCATTGTTAGTTATTTCTTATAATCTTGTTTCATATAGTATCTCTACTAAATAAAAAGCGTTTCATTTGGTAGCCGTGCGATCTGTTGTATCAGGCTGTACTGAAAGTCGATTAATTCTAGGATATTGATAACAATCAATGTAAAGCACCAAAACGAGACATCGTGTTAATAGTATGCTTAAAATCTGATTACTGGTATTTTTCTTACACAAATAATTTGTCTTCATGGAAAAGTTTGATTGGTAACAAATTAAATCTGTTGCAGCCTAATAACTTGTCACGCATTAAAATGTTTTTCCTATATGGTTTTATTATTTTCTAGTCGATTTGTTTTACTAATTCTCGATGTATTTTATTTTGGTAGACTTCACCGCATTTCGACTCCACAAGCTATAGATTTAGCATTCTTGCGTCGCAATTTTCTTCGAAGAAGTGAAGGAAAAGGGTCTGAGAACTCGAAAAATGTCCGTGGTGGTAGTGCCAGACAACCACGCTTACGCCAGGGTTCAACTCTCTCAAACCTCCTGTCGTCCGCACGACATAGCTCTTTTTTTCCAAGCTCTTCTAGTTGTGCTATTGAAAGTACACATATTCCTAAAACTTCACAGCCACAAGAAATTCCAGATGTATCTGACACATTAAGCACTCCTAACCCAACTCGCAGACCACCTATATTTGTGGATCTTCGAACTTTTGCTGGGGGAAGTCCAGTTGTTGCATTAAAAGAACGTTTAGATGCTCAAGCTATCGCAGATGCCAAGGCATCTGCTTTTGCAGAGGCTGCAGCTGTCCTTGCAGCTGCGAAACAGGTGTCATCTAGATCCTCAGCTCCTTTGCAACCAGCTGCAAAGAATGCCTCGGAAAATGTAGAACAGCTAAATAAAGCAACACTATGCCCTTTTACCAGTCGTACTCCGAATTCGTCGTCCAGTGAAAATTCATCGTCGATGGAAACTTCTGATTTATCTCCACCTATACCTCCAGTTAGGTATGTTATTATTATGTTTTATCACCGCTTAAATAATTTGTGCTCCTATTCTTTTTCCAAACAAAGTAAGCGTTCAGTGAAGTTTGAGTGCATAATAAGCTTAACAATCTTTTACTCCGATTCTACACTATTGGATTGTGCTTATTAATTTTAGTTCTAGATCTTATTATCACTATTTTATGGTTCAAAATACTTCACTTTCCACATAAAAGACGTCTGATTTCTACCATTAGTTAAACGTTAACAAAGTGATTAAAAGATTTCACATATACAACTATATATCCAGACAACAAAATTACTCTATACGAAACGTTTTATCAAAAAATGGTATCTAACTTTGCAGTTACTCGTGTGTCTGAACTCATTGCTGCAGCTGGTATGTTATCTAGTCCTGCTGCTTGCCACTCTTGATTTGTCTGATCGCCGTACTGATTGCTTTCATTGTTGGTGAGTTAGCATCTATAAGAATACCTGTAGATGCTGATTCGATATCCAGTAGGTTCAGTGGAGCTAGTCTATTTAAGATCTCTTCAAAGTGCTCTGTTCACTTGTTTCGCCATTATTGGGTGTTAGTAATAGGTTCTCCTTCCCTTTTCTTGATTCATTTTCGTATTCATTGTACTTTCCAGTTAGCTTCTTTGATGTATCATATAGCAGTTGTCTCATGTTTCTTTCTCTTACAGCTTTTTCCGTTGTCACTGCAAGGTCTTCCACATTTATCCGCTTGTCAGCTCTAATTCTCCCCTTCACTGGCCTGATTGCTTCTGTGTATTTGACCTATGCCTTGGCTATCTTTGCTCTTGTTCGGCTGTGATTAGTTGCTGTCTTTCAGTTATTCCCTTCTTGGACCTTATCCAGAGTATCAACGGAGATCCATTCCTTATGATGGTGCTTTTTATGACTTGATAGGTCCTGAAATGAAGTTGTTATCTCTTTTATCTGTTTCCATTAGTTTTCTGTAGTGGTTTCGTCGTGTTTGGGTAGATCTCATCAGGCTTGGAACTTATTGCTGAAATTTATCTTGAATTCGTTGAGTTTGTCAATATCTCGAAGTCAGTATCAAACTTTGTAATGCTGTTTGTTTAGTGCTTCATTAGCTTCAGCTTCATCTTGGTCACCACCATGTGGTGATCCGAAGGGATATAATGGTACTTATAAACAATTTGTTAAAAGCATACAAATTTCAACTCTGTTACCATTTTTGTTCCCGTTTTCCTATCCACAACGTCCTATAATATCTTTATATCTTCTGTTGTTCATCCTAACCTTGAAGTTTAGGTCTCTCATCAAGATAGTCAGGTTCTTACCTAATCATTTCTTTATGATTGATTGCAGCTTCTCGTGAAATTGATCTTAGCCATCTTCGTTGCTATCATTAGTGAGCACATAAAACTCTATGACATTCATTGTAATTTCCTCCTTCTTTGCTTTGAAGAATGATTTGATGATCCTGATTCCATGAGATTCCCTTCCCATTACTGCTTTTCGCTCTTCCATAAACAACATCAGTGAGGCTACTAGTGTGTATGACATATTTTCTTGATTACCAGAGTACAACAGCGTTAAAAGGGTTCCAGATAAAGTTAACATATATCTAACTATTCTAAAATGTCTGAACAATTGTTGTAAACAGTTATTTCATATTTTGTTGTGAAAAAATGTTGCTTAATGATAGAGGATGCAACGTAATTCGTAATGGTCTCGCTTATACAACCGATCTATTTCATTGCTAAATATTCTTTTACACTGTATTGCCCTGAACTAGTCCTCAAAATCAAAACACAGCTTGAACAGGTAGTTATTATATTTTGATAAGCCAAGTTGAATTCGAATAAATCATAGTAATAAAAATGTTAGCACATTTAGAATTTGTACACAAGAATAATCTAAAACTTCCTCCAGCTATCTGCTGGTTCTAATTATCCAAGAATGCTCCAATCTGTTTGCTCTCAAATATCCTGCATTGAACATGCTTTAATTAAGTCTTTCCGACTAACAGTAATACAGTATGGTTGAACGATAGCTGCTCACTAGATCAATCACTCAGGGAACTAATTTTAGGATACATTATTCTACGGTTAACCAAGTCGGTTTGTCTACTCAGATACTACACTTAACTGCAAGTTATAAGACACAAAAATAAACATGATCAATGGTCATTTGAAAACAAATACTAAGTTTTTTAGAGTACTCATGTGCTCATGAAATTATAACATATCTCTTACCCATCAAGTCAATACAATCTGACTGTTTAACCTAATAGCCTTAGTAGTCTATTTTTCGATACAGTAACCATATCAACTACTTCTATGAGGCTAGTGGGATTCAAATTATTTATTTAATTATTCACGCTAAACTATGCATAGGAAAAACATGAGTGTACTTTCTCTCAGCTGTCCTAGTGTTTATCGATACTCCTTGAATTTATCTCATATCATATGTATTTATTCATTTATTAAATTTTTAATGAATGTGTTAGTCTATTTCAACCTCTCATCGTGCCTAAATATGCAAACGCTTTTAATTGTAATATGCACTTTCAAAATATTTTTTTAGATATTACCATATTCTTTAAATTTTTTTTAACTACACGTACTGTTACTTTATTTGTTCTTTGATCATCATAGATATAGTGATGAATATATTATTCTTAAAATATTCTTAAGCTAATCTCATTAATGAACTTTTATCCATTCAATTCCCAACATAGTTTGGAGAATACTTGTCGGCGGCCTATGCTCCATTGGAGGTAACAGGCGTAATACAAAGCTGATACTAATACAATACATCTTCATAATGTCTTAGTGTACATCCTGATGATCTTAATCAACGTTGTAACGATAATTAATTATTGCTGCTTCAGTATCAATTTGATATTTTTAGGTTTTAAATTATGTTTTCAGCATAATTGAATATTAACTATGGAATTGTGAACATAATCAAGACTCATTAAATAATGCTGTACTTACGTTGTTCTAACGGACAACTGTTGAACCGTTAAATTCCACACTAAAATTATCTAGAATTCAATTTTTAGGTATTCAGAATCAATCCATATCGGTAAAGCTCAGTAATAGGTGGTGTATACGTGTTAATGAAATGAAAGGTAATACCCTTTTGTAAAGTAAGGTCATTGTTTTAACTTAGAATAAATTCAAAAGTTCGTCGATAAAATTTCTACTCCTATTTATATTCATTTGAACAAGATGCAGAGAAATGCTAACAAAATTGAATATCAGATATCAAAGAATCTAACCATAACTTCATCTCACTGTCAGATTATGCCAACAGGTTAAAATAATAAAATGGAATCTGTATTAAGTGAATATAAAATAATGAATTCTCAGTGATTACGTCAACTTCTTTTGCATTTCATAGAACTTAGTTATAAAACTTACAGATCCATAGTATTTCTCAAGTCAATCATCATTAATTAATACTGTTTCTGTGTTGTTGTTGTTTTGATAATCAACAATTTCTTGTGATATCACACGAATTTTGTTTCTCGATCATTCACAGTCTTTATTTTATTTCGTGTTTAAGGTTCTTCGAAAGTTTCCAATCAATCTTTTTACGAGACAGTAAATATTTCTACATAAAATCATATATTTGTTTATCCGTTTTGAGTTTTTTTTTTGATAGAAAAACGAATTGCTAAGGAACTTAATTCATACCAGCCAGAGTGGTAACTTACGAAATAAATAAATACATCTATTTTTACTGTATGCATACATGTGCAGTTTAAAGGAACAGATTATTTTTATCGTCTGTCCATATTTGTGTATTTGTTTACATCTCTTCAGGAGTGATTGAATATAATTAAGTCATCATTTTTCTATAAAAAAAGCCAATAACAGTTTATTGTTACTTTTTGCCTTAAAACGTTTCTCCATAGAACGTCTTATACCAAATACAGATAATGTGTGTAGTCTGCAAATAATTCTGTATATAAATATATATATATATATATATATATATATATATATATATATATATGTATATATATATATACATATATATATATATATAGTAGGAAACAGTGTGTTCATTGCAGTCTATACGCCTTGTATCCAGTACATGCAAAACTAATCGGCACTTTCCTACCAGTTTTCCTTGTAGAGTTGCATTAGACTGTTTTTAACTCTTGTCATCCTTTCTTGTAACTTAGCTTTCATATCATAACTCTTTAAAATAAATCGTTAAAACTGTATTGACTTGGTGTATTGATCAGTAAGTAACTTCGTCAAAATATATTGTGAAAAAGTCTCAACAGTGAAATACCCAATTCTGACACATTGTCGTTGGGTTAGTGATTTATGCAGTAGATTTTTAACCAATAGGTTTGAGACTCAAATTTCACTGGATCTATCCATCTAAGAGCAATCAGATAGTAGCAAACCCATTAATAAAACCGCAGCTGATAGGTGGATATTTGTACTTGTACATAATGAGCTACTTTATCAATAGATGCTTTTGATGGTGTTGCATTCGTAAGCTCAGTTACTTTTCATAGGATTGTAGTAACTGATATCTTAGAACCTATTTTAGTTGAGTTTTAGTTACAGTGACAAGATTTCTCTATTTTAAACTAGCAATTAAAGGCACTCATACAGAATTACCTTTGTTCTTTCTATTCTGATTTGGTATTCCAGTATTTACAACTTATAATCCTAAACTAAAACTTCAATGCATGCTACTCTTCGGTTACAGTTTTTTTCTGTATTCACTTAGAGTCATGGATTTCCATGTCCAGTTTCATCTCCTTGTGGTTAGTTGGTGAATGAAGAGTATTTAATTCCAACACTTATCAATTAATTCACTAGATTTGAGAATAAATCATTGACTTATCTTCTGCTAATTCCCAGTCTTTTTTCAATTGCCCCACTGATAATCACATATTTTTACTGCTCTCCACTTTCTTATTTTTGTTATTGGGGATCATTACATTATTGTTTTGTCAGTCTGGAACCTAGTTATTCTCAAGTAAATTAAGGTTCCCACTATCACTTTTAAGCGTTTTATTGTTAAAAAGTTATTGAGATTTATTGGTACCACTTTGTAAAATTATGACTAATAACCATTAATAATGCATAGATCGACAGCGTTGCATTTATATTCAGTTGAAAAATGTCTATTCTCTTTGCAAACATAGTAAAGCATTACCTAAACCAAACTATCTACCGTTATTAGAATATTTCTTAACTTACTTATTCTTCTTCAATTTCGTGTACATTGAAAATACATTACTCCCAGGGATTAAAATTATATCAGAATATGTTTACATCTTTTATCAGTTGTGCACTTATTAGAATCTGTTAAAGTAATTTTCTTAAACGGTAAATTTTCTCTCCATTAATCTTGTTCAACTGTTCAGAATATATAAAGTAAATCAATATTCTCCACTAGTGCAAATTAAAATAAATTTAGTCTGTGTCCTTTGTAAATGATAAATCTTTCATAAATACTGTTTACAGTATTCATTTTTATCAGAACTAATTTATTGCTATTACTGAAATCTGACAAAACTTTAAACTTGTTTAGTTTATAAGTGAATCATAATAAATTTTATATAAAACTATTCATGTTTATGTAAACTGTATGTTATAAGATGCTCTGTTTTGACAGTGATTCATAAACAAATAGAAAAATAAAGATATATTTAGTAAATTTTGCATAATACCTTTTTTTTTCTCTCTATTCAGCATGTCACTTTACATCTAACATGGTTATAAGAAAGAATCATTACACAAGTTATGTTTTTTCATCAACTACTGGTAATGTTTTCATGTTCATGCGAATTATCGACTTTACCGGTTCAGGACTTATTCTCATCATTCGTCACATATTTTTCTTCAGTCAGAGTCATTTTTTATTCACAGATTGCTTTTAAATTTATTTTCACTCTATCTCAACATTCTGCTCAAAATAAATCTTTTTTTCTACTGTCTATGTAATCCACCAATGTAATAATCTGAGGGAGGGCTCGTTGGTCGGAGGTTAATACTGACTATACATAGTCTTCGTGCTATCATATAGTACTGTCAGGTTTCACAAACTAAGTAATGAGTAAACTAAACTTTGGAAATATATATATATATATATATATATATATATATATATATAGTCAAATTATTTAGCGAATATCTTTACATATGAATCGTATTTGTTCGCATATCAGATCTATCGAGAAGTGATGTCAATACAAATATCCTTATTTAGGTAGTTTTTGATAAACGTATTAAGTAGAATATCACGTAGTATGTGTTGTGTAATAAGGAAAACCTGTTTGTCAAATGTCATTATTTACATTAAAAATAAAATTAGCTTATACTCTTGTCCGTTTTTAGGTTATGTCGTTTACCTATAAGACTGACTAGTACACGTTTAGTTACAAATAGTATTTTAGGTATCCACCTAAATTAGGCGTTTTTAGTCCATATCTACTAGTTCTCTTTCTTTTCCTGTTACAGTCATGTGATAATGAGGTAAGAGAATTATGTTGTCTGACTAAACTTGTAATTTTTAATAAATTACCACTATAATCTGCATAATAAACATAACTAAAAAAATAATGTTACTTCTCTCTTTTTCTTACCATAAACATATTATTAGGCTATTTATTGAGTTGTTAGTTCATTCATGTTAATATTATGCTAATTTCATGTCTAGGATACATTATATTCATTCGTTTTACTCTCTCATTTTATATTATTGTATTATTTTTGAAATTGCTGTGATTAGTTGTACAAAAATGGATTAGAATTACATAAATTTACGCTATGTATGTATCTTATGCTAGTCGATCTATGTCGCTTTTTCCTCGAGATTAAGTATACTGTTGAATTATTCTGTAAATTTAGTTACAACCGACCGTAGCTGCTAACATGACGTGGTGGTCGGGCTTGCCTATTATGATGACACAACCGAGCTATACTGGCTGAAACATATGCTCCTGAAGGTTCTACCATGCCAGGCAGGTCGATTGGAGAACGATGAGACTGAAAGCGGCTACTCAAGGTCTGAGGGCTAAGTCGTACTGCTGACTGCAGAGGGGTGTGACAGCAGTAAGTTGTTTCCCTCGGACAACCAGCATCTGCAGCGATACTGCCTTCTCACAAGGAAGGAAGGGTTAGAAAAGGTCGACCCTAAAAATGCCACACCTCACCTTACCTCACGGATTTCCGTCTCCTTGGGTAAGGGCTTTTAAGAGCGGAGCTTATACTCAAGAAACCTTTCATAAAAAGGCCGTATGTGACCGGCCTCAAACAGTTGTCCCTTGGGCTCTGGTCACGCTCCCAGGTCTGTAAGACCAACGCTAATCTACCTTCCTTTTCAGGTTCCACAAGAAACACCCACGGTGTGGGCAGCCGGGATTTGACAACCACGCTTATACCCGTAACAGCACACGAGACCAAATTGGTCAAAATCAAATCCCTCCTACACCCCTAATATCTCTCTTATCTCCGTGACTGTCTCTATTCACATTCCTTTATCTCCCCGCACCTCTGCTGAAAACCATTCGAGTTCCTGGTCTCTTGAAACCCCGTTCTAAACTACATGTTGGAGCATTTAATGTACGGACATTGTGTCAAATAGAACAACAGTCATGATCCAAAATTTCATTTTTATGTGGACCAAATTAATTGGCTTTTCATTCCATTGTTAGATATGGAACTTTTTATGTTACTTTAAATTATCATTTACAATGATTGATGTGATTAATCGTCTTTATTTAACTTGAACACGTGCGTCAACTCATGTTCAAATGGGAACGTTTTATTTTTATACTCAGAGTAGCCTTAAAACAAAGGGATATTTATATTTTCATTTATTATGTTTGTGCTTGTTTATTTGATTAATTATTAAGCTTAAATATTTTACATAATAATGAGGAATAGAAGTTGTAAAAATAATGTAAATACTAGTGCAGAAAATAGATATTCAGTCCTTATATTATGACTCATTTTTTAAGTGATGTGTTTTATTTATGTTCAAATTAATCATCAGTTGAGAAATTCATTCAAAACATAAAAATCTATTAATTCTAGCTTAGAACTTATAACGAGTCTCATCGTAACCATACATTTAATTCGCCAAAAGATCAGATTTCGTAGCAAACATATACTTTCAGGCCACTGAGCTAAAATTCTAATCGGCAGTGAAATAGGTAGTAACTCAGTTTTAGGATTAAATGAAAACTAAATCATATTATACGTTGAACAAAGTTTTCATTCATTAATCTGAAGGTATTATACTAGTCAGGAGTCTTGAATATCCTGGGTTCGAATTCCTATGGAATCGTTAAAACACATAGATCTGATAAGTCCCCAAATAGGCTAAAACTTATATTTTGTATCCCCTAGTTTTTCATATGATATTGAAAGTTTTACGTGGTCCACATATTTACAATGTGTAATGTCTATGTATTTAATGGATTTTCGACTCTAAAAAGAAGATATTTCGACTTCAAATTAGTCTAATTTGGTTTTTATTGCAGCCATATATCTCTACAACAGATATACTTTTCTTAATACGTTATACAATGCGATACAATCCATATGTTATTTTGTGAATAGTTTTTTTTTCATAATTGATTAGTATGCAAATTACATGTCATTTTAATTTTTCTAATTTTATTTAATTTTACTTAAAGAATGCATTCACTCAGAAAAAGCCATGAACACTACAATTCAAAGCATTTTTCACGTCATTTATCAACATCCAGTCCTGTACCTGAATATCACTTTAACGAATTAAATAAAGATGAAGATCGTGAAATTGTTGAATCAATCGAAGCTGTTATGAAAGCAGCATCATACGATTCAAAAAATTCAAAGGAAACAAAATCTAAACAACAAGATACAGAATACATTTCTTCCAATATTACTTCATTTCGTGATACTACTTCACTGAATAATACTCCAGATGTACCTTGTCATTCAAATGATTTTAAGCATCAACATGTAGATAGTTCAAGGTAAAGTTTCATGTTTATTTCTCCTTGAAAAAATTATTGTTACCTAGTTGTGATATTATTTTGAGGTAGCTTACTGTTATATTTATTGTATCTAAAAGAAAGTGATAAAGTACAAAAAAACAACTTCTGATTATTTGTTCTCTCGATGTAAATTATGAGTAGTATAAAAGCAGATTTTTACATTTTATAAACTTCTGTGTTGTTCACTTTCAGAAGTAACTTGTGTTGATTGTTATCGACAACTATATTTCAGTTGTCTATCACTTAACTCGTACTTAAATAAAATATTGATGCTGGTCACTTAGTATTGTTATCGAAGTTCAGAAGGACGGTATTAGGTTTAAAGCGAGACAAGGTAGTGAAATATTGCGGTGTTCTAAATACTTTCAACTTGTGTGAACAACATTTAATATCATTATTATTATATTTCGTAAATTTTGATTAGTTCATGTAGTATTTCTTTTAGCTAAAAATAATGAATCTAAGAATTGCGTAAACATTTGTTTCTTAATTGTTTTTAATCTACTGTGCGATGCCTTAATAGTTTTAAAAATTTAATGTTTAGGATAATGTTTTCATTTTCTCAGAATTACATACTTAAACATATTTTCAAAAAATATTCTGTTGTTTTGACATTCAATACTTTTCTGAGATATTTTATTATTTACTATACAAAATTTTCTATATTTATCGATTTCTGTGCAGATATACTTTTTCGTCTATGTCAACTAATACAGATTGTATTTATCGGTTTAATAGGATTTCGCAACCTAATGTTTCTAAACAAACTCAAAATAGTACTAGATCATCACAATTTAATGGGAATTTACACTGCTCTTCTGAAAACTCATATCTTCTCGGCAATATTGCCCTACAGTCTCAACCACAATATCCTTTTGATCAACTTGTTGAACTCAATCGCAATGATATCCAACAGGAGAAGACTCATTCATATACACCCAATGTAAATTTTATTAGTTCATCTTTTCGTGATCCACTCCATGTTTTAGCCGATACAACAGTTCAGGATACGCATAGAAAGCAAATATTTCCTTCCACTGTATCCAACAATTTCCATGCTACGCCTACGCCAGGATCGATAATGTCAACGTCATCAATTTCGACAGAGACTCCAACACCAACGGCTACTCCTACACCAACTCCTGAACAAACCTCTCAGTCTCAAGGTTTCATAAAGAATGCTGACGATAGTGATAGTTCCTTAAATCAGGCACCTTGGTTTCAGGCTTTGCTACCCAGAGAAATAGCATTTGAATTACTTGCTAGAGAAGAGGTATTGTTTTTTTTTTCTCGATAATACAATATTCTGTGATTATTTACAAACTATGACGTACATAAAATAGTGAATTTTATTTCTTATCATGTATATGAATTATTTAAATTATAAAACGTAGTTCATGCAGTTAGTTTCCTTTATGAATTTGAATAAAGCCAAAACAATAATCGAGACAGAATTTTCATTATATTTCTTCAACTACTTAGTAGTTATGTACGGTATTAAAATGGGTTTTAGACTTTAGTGATAGTAGGAATTAAAATAGTAACGATCATTAATTCTATATATATGTTACTCGCTTAATTACGCCTGTTATCCCCCAATGGAGCATAGGCTGCCGATGGGGTGAGGTCACTAACCACATGCCCAACCCTTCTCCTTTATCCAGGCTTGGGACCGGCAGTAGCCCCTGAGGGGCTCCAGGTGGAGTTATATATATATCTTGAACTTTCTTGATGAATTTCAGGAAACTGAATTTATTATCTAATACAGTGGGAGAAATGGTTATCCTCCTAATAATTATAAATATTATTATGTCATTTATCGGCATATGTATGTTATTTTCATGTTTTTTTAATGGATCTCTTAGTGTTTTTTAGTTTTATTAGGTTTCATTTTGTAAGAAAGTTGAAATAAAATAATGTGATTTTTAGTTCTCCTCCTTAATAATGCGTTTCTTCATTTTTTTTAGGTTGGCAGTTTTTTAGTTCGCAACAGCGCTACTCATCCCGGTTGTTGTGCTTTATCTGTTCGAGTACCAAACAAGGATAATCCGATAGGAATAACTCATTACTTGATACAAAAAACAAATCGAGGTGTTCGTCTAAAGGTTAGTTACTTTTTCCCCAGTGTATATTTTCACGACTCATTTTCAATGACATTGATACTTTTTAAAAAAATATTGTTTTTCTATCAATTTCCCAAGTTTATCAGTTCATTTCTGTATTTCATCCTTAGCAATAAACCTGTTTTTATTAAAACCAATGAATTCTTAGTAATTAGTTTTTCTTTTTAAATGTAATTCAATGTACTTACATGATAATAACTATTGGTTAAGTATTTTTATAATATCCCGAGTGTTTTTCGAATTTTCAAAAAGCCATAAAATATTCTATATTTACGTCAGTGTTCCTTTCAAACATCGTCATGAAAGCGGTTACATTTTAAAATAACAGACAAAACACTTTGCAACATTTATTCAATCTAATATACATATATGGTTATTGAGTGAAATTTTTCCAATCTATTCACACATACCATCTGGTTGTACTATCTTTTTTGTAAACCCACCTATCACCAACATCCTTTTATGTGTACGTTAATGAGTTACAAATTGTCTGAAATGAGAAATGAGTGTAAATCTTAAAAAGAAGAAATTTCATGAAAGTAGACTGTCATTTTACATAAGTATAGTAAGCAATTTAATCAACAGCCTAATCAAAAGTAATTGTGTATGCATGCATTTATGATAATGAATATCGAATCGTTTTTTTTAAAATAGTTAATTCGTCTCTGTCATATGCTCAATGGATGAGATCGACTTTTAACCTCACTAGAATCTTATCAACATTTGAATGAGTTTAATAAAGTTTGTTTTTCGCCATGGATAATTATGAAGTTTTATTTTTATCTTTAAGGTCAACCACTGGTGATGAGAAATATGATCAAACAATTATTAGTTACATTCATAAATTCAATTTAACTATGTTTCTGCATTGTTAATGAAACAGAATGATGATTTGTTTTTTTTTGACAAATTCACTCGATGCATGCCTTTGTCTATTTAGAAAAAAGTACAATAATGTAGTAGTTACTTATTAGTAATATAGTTAGACAACATTGAATAAATAACGTCTGGATTGTGTCGGTTTATTGTTGTTGGCATAAACTTCAAATTTTAGTCACACTAATAACTAAATGATACGTCTAACTTTGCCTAAGGAACTTTTACCAATATATTTTTAAACTTGTTTTGATTAATTTTTTCATAGGTAAAAATTTAGTGACAGTATAATTTATATATTTTTTTCTGTCAATTAAAATGTCTGTGTTGTAGCCTTTTTTCCCCTTTATATATGAACGTTCAACTCAACAGTTTTTTATAGATAATTTGTCACTAACTATTAGTTCGTAAAAACTGTTCCCCTCAGATGATCAGTAGAATGGCTGACGTGTATTCTGTATGTAAAACTCGTTTATAGAAAATATTCGTAAGTCACTAGCTTTTGGTCATGGATGTCTGTGGAGCATTTTTTGAACCACCGCGTCAGCAATGTTTGTGTGAAGAATAGAGTACTAGCTGAAGATGGCAAGTTGACTGAATTTTTATCATTTGAGGTGTTTGGAACATGTGTTAATTATGCCAAGCTACCGCTTACTTTGATGGATGATATTGCCTGGTGTAGGAGTGGGTTAGAAAAAACTAGGAGCTCCCAAGGCAAACATGACACCACCCCATCAAGTTATTGATAATTTTGGTAAGGCATGTTTATAGATGTAGGCTACCTGGATGTGGTCCTCATTCTTATCCTAATCAGTCATTAGAGACTTAACATTACAAAGCTTAGAATTGTTTTCAGTGTCTCAGGTGAGTTCACTTCTTGTATTTCGTTAGAACGTGAGTCTTGAAATCTCATACTTTTCTCCTTTTTCTATTCTTGGTCATTTTTTATACCATTGATACTAATAATACTCTGGATTTATCTATTTTCTCTGTATCAGTGTGGTATAGAAGCTTTAACTGATGCACATTTGTGTGAGATTCTGCCTTACACAGCCGACTAGCTGAGAATTTATTCATGACTCCAAGAAACCCTGACATTCGAAAAGTTTGATGTTGTTGATTACACATTGAATATACCATATTTGCCTGTTATTCACATATTCTTCACTTAACATCTCAATTACTTTAAGCAGTTTAATCTCCCATACTTAATTTTATTCATGATGAATAACGGGGTGTATCTATACCTTGATTAAAGCCTCTTGTCGAAAAAAAGTTGGCCTAATCATTTTATTTAGTGTTTTCTGCTTTAATGATTTATTTTAAAAAATACTTAATTTTGTAGTTTTAGTTTGATTCGTATGTCTATAGGCTTGTATTAATGTGTAGAATTTGCTTTTATTTAAACTTTTATCATTAAAAGGGTTTAGACAAGGAGTGGCCATCCCTGCAAGCTCTTATTACTCATTTGACTGTCATTCCAGAGATGCTCCCATGCCCTCTCAAACTTCCACAGTATACTACTAATCCAATCTTTACCCAATTTGATCTACAATTGACGAATGGCCCATCAAACGAAATTATCAAACAACAACGTAACTATAACATCCGATCATCGCGAACAGAAATGGGTGAAAATAATCGTGTCACTAATTCAGACTCATCTAGTCACCATTCTCAGTGTATACTTCATCCAGTTGCAGATCTTCCCTGTAGACCAGTTCTACCATCATGTGCTACTGTTTCTCATATCAACCTTACTAACCCTTTTGATCAAAACTTATCATCCCACAATGTGATAGCGAAAGATCCTCATGTTGTTGGTAGTTATCAAGCATCACAATTCAAATCACAAATCCCTAGTTGGTTGATAAATCAATCGAATAATGATCATTTGTCGACTAAAACTTCACCACAGAATTCAAATCAAATATCAATGAATATCGATTCTATACATTGGAAACAAAACTCTGTAGATTTAGCATATATTTCACGTTCTGAGCACATAGATAAACAACAATCGATTAATGAAACTATTGCCAGAAATAATCGAAAATTAAGTTACACAACAAATGATTTATCACAAAATAATGCTTCTTTAATGCTGGATTACATAGAAGAAGATGAAGATTATCAACGTTTGTCTGATTTTTCTTCCATATTGGCTGATTTGAATATTGTGCATGAAAGACCGTTGACTAGTTGTTGATTGGACTTTTTTTTTCAAATATCATATTCACAGTATACTAATATTTGTTAATAAATATTCTGAATGAAATTTATCTCTATCATGGTTTATTATTTGTATAGTGAAGAAGTAAAATGGTCCGTTTACATTAATAACTTGTTTTATTTATTTCTCTTTGACTCACTGACTTCAATTGCTTAGTAGTTTTTAATTACGTACACAATTGTTCAAACTACTCTATCATCATCCTAATTCATACATAATCAGCTCACATAAAAATACATCCTCTCTATAAATGAATATATCAATAATTTGTTTATCTCTTATCCATCTTTCATTTGTCTTATTTATTTATTTGTCAATATCAGTGGAAAGCTATTGCATAAATGTCAGGTTAGGTTACTTAAATTATTTTGCTACCTCTGCTTGATATATTCCATCACTGGTTTCTTATTGCTGTTTTCATTGTGTTATTGGTTAGACTGAGAGAGTCTTTTTTCATTTACTAATTTGTATTAGTTAAATCTTTGCCTACACTTAATACCTACGAGCGTACACTTACGTAAATATATCATGCTATGGTTTTCTTTATCATGAATTATTTATTACAAATCATAGAAGAAATTTTCTAATTTGGCCTTCTTCATTTGTATGCAAGTTTTCTTTTGTTTTCGTTCTGTTCTCTTGCTTATTTCTTTGTTGTTATTTCAGATCATCCAAGAAAATTTGTGAGATAATGCTAAAATTAGATTCTTCACATATATAAACACAGAATCTCTTTGCTTTTTATATCATTGATAATAGTGGCTACAAATATGTAAAGCGTATTCTCAGGGTAATAGGTTACACCAAACTAAACTACTTTAATTTGGTTTACTGGCATTGGGCTCATGTGGTCCTCATCATACGCCGAAAAAAATGTTTCGTTCCGCAATACAGAGTATACAGAATAAAATTTTAAGAAAAATGCATAGTCTGATTAAATATTCTCTCGTGGTACGAAAATTAAGTCTATTTGTATTATCTAGCTGGATGTAACAATAAGTTAGTAATGAGACAACATATTAACAAAAGTACGTAGTGTTTGCTCTTATTGGTCGACTTGCAATTGACAGCAAGTGTTGTAAGGTATCGACATATCTAAACAAAGATCTCAGCTAGCCGATGTATCATACATTATGGCAAACTTAATCATTCCCGTTCACGAAGAACCAGTAAAACACTTCATAGTCGCTCTTTCTTCAAGCAACAACCTTGATAATCGCCTAGTTATTAACTAGTTTTTATTAATAATTCATGTATCTCAATATTTTACTTCCTTACGCCTGTTACCCACCGCCGCCGACTAGCATTCTCTAACCTACTCTGTCCAGGGTCTTCCTTTCTAGTTCTGATTGTTCCAATTGTAGTTCATTCCACTCTTGTCTGTCTCCATTTCTCGGCGTAATGTGTTCCTTGACCTCCCTCTTTTCTGTTGGCCTTGTGGATTCCAGCTGAGGGCTTGTTTTGTAATGCAGTTGGGTGCTTCCCTAAACGTGTCCTACCCACTTCCAGCGCTTCTTCCTCTGCTGGATCTCGTTTGGTATCTCCCACGGCAGGTTGTTGGTGATAGTGTCTGGCCAGCAGATCCGAAGTATTTTGCGTAGACAACTGTTAATGAACACTTTTACCTTCTGGATGATCGCTTTCGTAGTTCTCCAAGTTTCCACCACATACAGTGGAACTGTCTTGACATTTATACTGAATAGTCTAACTTCGATGTTGGTGGTGTAAGAGTAGGTTGGAAGAAAGCTAGGGGTGGCCTAACCAAAACATGGCACAAATCCATGAAGCCGCTGACAAGTGGACTGAGTCACGTTGGTAAATGTAGGCTACCTGGTTGGAGTGAGACGAGTCACCAGTGGTTAGAGACCTTGAACGACATGGCGCAGGTGCATTCATTCATTGTGTTCTCTCAAATTCTAACCTTATATATTCGCCATCATCTCTATCTTTCTCTTTCTAAATTTATTTCAATTATACTTCTTGAATAATATCTTCGAAGACTAATCTTCTCTATTACCGCTAATACTTCTACTATCTCTACCACTGACAGTTGCGTTTCTGTGCTGATGCAGCATGGCAACCTGAAATGATGTATGTACGTACGGAGTTCTACATTGTAACTGACTGACTGTTTAGAGTTCCAGATTTCCTTCAGTTGTAGAAATGCTGTCCTTGCTTTGCCGACCCACGCCTTCACATTTGCATCAGACCCATTGTGCTCATCAGTTCTACTGTCCAGATATGTAAAGGTTTTTACATCTTCCAAAGCTTCACCGTCAAGTGTGATTTGGTCTGTGCATATGTTGCATCGTAGAATCTTGCTTTTCCCTTCGTGTATGTTGGAACTTACTGGTGCTACACTGGTTTTCTCTTGCATTCGTTGTTACGTGTGGGATAGAAGAGCCAGATCGTCTACGAAGTCTAGATCGTCCAGCTGCATCCTATTTGTTTAGTATCCCGTGCTTCCCTCCAGATGTTTACCTCTTGATAGTCCAGTTGACCACCAGCAGAAAGATAAAGGGTGAGAGTCAGTCAGTCAGTTGCAACGTAGAACTTCGTACGTAAGTACATCAGTTCATGTCGCCATACCACATCAGCACAGAGATATAATTGTCAATTCAAATCCAATAGTAGAAGAGGTAGTAAAGGTATTAGAAGTAATCGGAGAGGTTAGAATTAGAAGATATGATTCACGATGTATGATTCAATAAGTTTAGAAAGTAAAAGCTAGAGGTGTTGAAGAACCCAGATTAGGATTTGAGAGAACACAGAGAATAAATGCACCGGCGCCATTGCGAACGATTTTGAGCCATGTCATTCAAGGTCTCTAGCCATCGATTATTATCATCTCGCGGACCCCAACCAGGTAGTCCACAATTACCGACATGGCTCAGTCCACTAGTCAATGACTTCACGGATTTCTGCCATGTTTTGGTTTGGCCGCCCCTAGCTTTCTTCCAACCTACTCCTACACTACAAAACAAAGCTCTTCGAGGCAGTCGGTGGTTGGGCATACGCAACACGTGTCCCAACCACCTCAACTGGTGAAGTTTCACCACTTCATCTATTGATCTGCCATCCTTGCCTAGCACCCGATTCCTAATAACAGCGTTGCTCACTCGGGTGTCCCACGATATACGAGCAATGCTTCGAAGACATCTATGATCGAAAACCAGTAACTTACGAATATCTTCTACTCTCACTGGCCATGTTTCACAGCCATAAAGTAAGACGGAGCGAACCACTGCGCAGTACACTCGTCCTTTAGTCAGCAAACGGATATCTTGCCTACGCCATAAGTAACGCAGGTTGGCAAAAGCCATTCGAGCCTTCTGTATCCGAGCTGAGATTTCGTCAGTCACCAGGCCATCGGCACTGATGAGACTCCCAAGATAAGTGAGGCGGTTTACACGTTCGACTACTTCACTCCCTATCACTAGTTCAGGTGCCGATGAAACCCAGTCTTGAAGCAACATTTTGCATTTCGAGGGGGAAAACCGCATCCCGAACATGCTCGCACTGTTGCTTAGGGTAGTCAGAAGACTCTGCATTTTGTCAGCATCTTCACCAAGTAGGACTATGTCATCGGCATATTCTAAGTCAATAAGCGAGCCACCCGGTAAAAGGTCTACTCCTGAAAATTCAGACGAGGATAAAGTTATTTCTAGGAGCATGTCTATGATAAAATTAAACAAGAATGGAGAAAGTGGACATCCCTGACGGATACCACTCGAAGTAGAGAATTCCGGTGACAGTTCGCTATAAGCTCTCACTCGACCAGTGGTGTTTGAGTAGAGAGCTTGTATGAGGTTAATTTACTTCGTTGCTACACCTTTCAATGACAGACACTGCCGCAGAACCTCACAATCCACTGAGTCAAATGCCGCCCTAAGGTCCAGGAAAACAACTACTGTAGGACGCCTAAATGTGTGTCTGTGTTCCAGGACCTGTCGTAGTGTGAAGATGTGGTCTATACAGCCACGTCCAGGTCGAAAACCAGATTGGTTTTCTCGAGTTTGCTCTTCACGAGCTTTCGTTAAGCGTCGAAGTATTACTGAGGCCAATATTTTAGATACTATATTAGTTAGACTTATTCCTCTGTGATTGTTACAAGAAGACTTCTGTCCTTTCTTATAGATTGGGACAATCAGTGATTGAGACCAGTCGGATGGGATTACGTCCAGTTCCCAGATTCTATCTAAGATCTCAGTCAATCTAGCTGCTAAATCGGGACCACCATCCTTAAATATCTCAGGGGTCAGTCTATCAGGACCTGCAGCTCGCCCTCGCTTCAGATTTCCTTAACTCTTTCTCAACTTCATTAAGACTAGGGGGACTTACGTCGATTTGCCATTCAGGATGACTGGAGATCGTGGGTAACCGAAGAGTGGCTCGAGGCCAGTTGAACTGATCCCTAAAGTGTTCTGCCTATCGATCCAGTCTCATGGATTGAGAATAAATAATAGTCCCGTCATTTTCTGAGATGGTCTCACTTACACTAGGATTCCTAATACCAGTTTGCTTGATAAGTCGGAAAAGTTGTCTACTGTTGCCGATCACCGCTGCCTTTTCCATCGCCTTTGCTTTCGCCACCCACCACTGTTCGCGATCGTTATGTAGGCTTTTCATAAGTCTGCGCCTAAGCTGACTTCGTTCTTCATCATGTTCAGAGTCAGATGGGATGAGTTTTCGGGCATCCAACAGATCGGTGGATGCTACTGAGATCCACGGTTTCATTCTAGGCTTATGGTCAACCTTACTAGCAGATATCACTGCTGTTTCCACAGCCTTTTTGATATCATTCCAACCTGCTTCCGGATGGGAATCGCTTAAATGGTCGCCTAACTGTCTTTCTAGTTGTTCCTGAAATATATTCTTCGCCTTATTATCATTAAGTAAAACCCTAAGAGGCTTCCTTACGGTGTCTTTCTTACGTCCAGTAAGCTTCAAACAAATACGCGCTCGCACTAGGGCATGATCTGAATCTAGACATGTGCCCCAGAACGAGCGACAGTCCTCTATCGAACCTCTCCATCGGTGGCTGATGGCAGTGTGATCTAGTTGGGTCCAACGTTGAGATGACTTAGGTCGCCAGGTCAACAGATGCTTTTCCTTATGCCTAAAGTTAGTGTTTGCTAAGAATAGGCGGTTGTCTGAGCATGCTTGCAACAGACGGTCACCATTGTCTGTTCTCTGAGCCGCGACACCATAACATCCACCTAGGTGTCTCTCCTGCTCACTTAGTCTACCTACTTGAGCATTAAAGTCACCAGCCATTATTACTATATCAGAACGCCTAGCTTTTTGGAGGAGGTCCGAAAGCTTTCTGTAAAACTCATCCTTAACCTCGTCTGAACTGCAGTCAGTTAGGGCATAGGCAGATACGATGAAGAGGCAACGGCAATTGTCCCTATCTTTCCGAGTCCTTACTGTCCCGTTTAGTCGGACAGCGCACAAACGACTACCTACTGGGATCCAGTCAAGGAGAGATCGTTCAGCTCTACGACTCAATGGTATGCCTACGCCACGAAGACCCCGGGTAGCAGCATCAGGGCTTCCAAATACACGAAGAGTAAATCGAGCTGCTTCTTTATTTTGACATGGTGTGGCCAAGTGTATGACGCGACTCGGATCCTGTATGCGCGTTTCTGAGACGCAGCATACATGGATGGCACGAGATTCTAAAGTCCTAGCCAATGATGCCTGTTGCCCTATTTGACACAATGTCCGAACATTAAATGCTCCAACATGTAGTCTAGAGCGAGGTTTAAGGAGACCAGGAACGACGTTTCGCGAACTCGTATCGTCTGCATTAGCTGTGCACTGTGATGAATGAATGTGAGAAGAGTTAGTCGTGGAGATAAGAGAGGTACTAGGGGGTGTAGGAAGGATTTGATTTTGACCAATTTGGTCTCGCGTGCTGTTATGGGTATGAGGGCGGTTGTCACTTCCCGGCTGCCCACACCGTGGAAGGTTGTTTCTTGAGGGACCTGAAAAGGAAGATAGATTAGTGTTGGTGCGTGACCGCAGAGCCCAAGGGACAACTGCTTAAGGCCGGTCACGCACGGCCTTTTTATGAAAGGTATTTTGAGGATTAGCTCCGTTCTTAAAGGCCCTTAGTGGGCACCCTTACCCAGGGGGACGGAAATCCGTGAGTTAGGGGAGGTGTGACATTTTTAGGGCCGACCTTTTCTAACCCTTCCTTCCTTGTGAGAAGGCAGCATCGCTGCAGATGCTGGTTGTCCGAGGGAAACTCCTTACTGCTGTCACACCCCTCTGCAGTCAGCAGTACGACTTCGCACTCAGACCTTGGGTAGCTGCTTTTAGTCTCATCGTTCTCCAAGCGACCTGTCTGGCATAGTAGAACCTTGAGGAACATATGTTCCAGCCAGTATAGCTCGGTTGGGTCATCACGATAGGCAAGAACGACCACCACGTCAAGGTAGCAGCTACGGTCGGGAAAGGGTGAGAGTAAACAACCTTGTCTGACACCGGTCTTCACTTCAAACGAGTCCGTCAGCTGCCCTCTCTGCACGACTTTGCAGTTTAATTCATAAGAATCCCGTAAATTGTTGACTATCTCAGGCACGCCGTAGTGTCGAAGATGCCTCCATAGTGTTGTCCTGTTCATGCTACTGAATGCTTCCTCGTAATCAATGTAGTCAATGCAGAGTGGTGGATTCCACTCAATAGACTGTTCCGTAATGTTGCGGTTTAGTCGGTACACAATTGATCCTTACGGAATACAGCCTGTTAATCTCGAAGTTGAGCGTCCAAGAAGTCCATTCTGTTTAACAACAACCAATTAAAAACTTTTCCTATTATCGAGAGAAGAATGCCTCCGTAGTTCTCACACTTGCTGAGATCACTTTTTTTGGTATTTTAATCAGGTGTCTTTCTTTCCAGTGTACTTGTTCTTCATCCAAGATCTTGCTAATGAAGGCGTGAAATATCTTCGCAATTACTGCTAAGTCTGCTTTTGATGCCTCCGCTGGGATGTTATCTTGTCCCGCTGCTTTGCCACTCTTCATTTGTTTGATGGATATGCTGATCTCTTCAACTACTAGCGGGCCAACATTGATTTAAGTGAACTGTGTAAGTAATGATTCTACACTTCAGTGATAGGTAAGATATTCCATTCATTAAACATTACCTTAGACCTACAAAACAACCACCTTAACTGGTATCTCGATTTCATTATTGTATTAGATCGATCTTTAACAGTTTTCTTGAACTGAAAAGTTTACGCAGCTTAAACAAAACCATCTGTTCTAACATTTCACGTTCTCTAGACTGAATTACTAAGGGCTTAAAGTTATAGAACTAATGTTTGTGTACATTCTACATCGAGTTTCCAAACGTTTGTTTTCTCATTAACGCGAATCTTTAAGCACCCACAGCCCCAACTTGACTGACTGTATAGCTTCCAAGACAAGGACACAGTGTGAAGATCATACTTATTTCATCCTCAAGATTTACACTCATTTTTAGACTTAACCGAAGTACCATTCGGTTTTTCTTTACATCAGAATTGTAACCACCATTTTGAGACAGTTTTTTAGAATGTGAAATTTACTGATGCGTAGTCATAAAAGATGGTTTCTTAGAAAGATTTTATTTTCTGGAACTTAACATGAATTCATTGAAAGATTATTTTAAAAATCATTCATAAATTGAAGACTTGATTTACAAGGGAACAATACACCTACGAATAAAACTGTTCAGGTATAAATTACAATGAAGATCATAATTTACATTACTATGTACAGAAGGTTACATAATCGAATTACCAATAAGCATATTTGAGAGAAGTTATTGAAAGCTTTCGTAAGTAATGCATTTTGTATGGACAATGGAAAGACTAGAAACAATTGTGAGTATTCAAAGATGATCAATAAAACCGATTTAATAATAAAATGCTGATACAAGCATCGAAAGACAAAGGTGAGCTAACGATAAAAAAGATTTTTGTTGATATGCATTAGTTTCATGAAGTGAGTCTTCACAGTTCTGTTTCAAAAGATAACCAATCTCGTAATTTAGGAGGTTGTGACATTGATCTATGTGTATGTTTAGGAGGATGTTCGCCATTTTGTATTGATATGCCAGAATCTCTTAACGTTGAATTGTTGATTGAAATTGGATGCGGAAGGTTATTGTGGTTAAGATACCGCCCACGTAATTCCCTAGATGTAATCTGATATGTGGACTGTGAAGTCATAGGTAAACGTGATCCCGACATTTCAGAGGGACAGAATGAGTTGGACACCACTTTGGAATATCTTAAATCATTAGGTGGAAACTGTAAACTACTGTGTCTTGGGATTGGATGAGTATTTAAACGTTGACACATTCTTCCTGAAACAACAGGCGATATGCTGCTTGTAGACAGAGAATTGTTGACCAATGCGTTACGATTAGAACTAGTAAAATAAGTTGGCGACTTTCTTCCAAGAGTATTTATGTTATCTCTGGCCAAACAGGATGAACTAGATGGTCTGTTTAGATCATTCATCTCCAGATTATTGTCATAATAATAATAGAAATAATGATGATGATATTGTTGTGGAGACCTATTTTTCCCCAGAATAGTATCACAGTTCGGGTTCGGTATGGATGAGGTAGCATTTGGAATTACTGGCGAGTGCATATGAGTGGTATTATTGTGCACACATAGAGGACTTTGATCAATTTGAAGATTTCTGCTAATTTGTGGTGGTCTGACTAACCATCTTTGAGCGGGAGAGCGTTGCAACTGAGCACCAACAGAAGAGGAACGCGAGTGGCCAACTACTTTCCGCTTGTTAGTAGTGGGACGACCACAGATCGAGTCCGCCTTCGAAGAACCAAAATCTTTACCTCCTTCGGAATTATTACTTAAAGGAGCAAGTTTTGTGCTCGCATATAAAGAAACTCCTTTATTCGAGCTAGGTTCAAATTTTTCAATGATTGATGTTAGCTGATTATGAACGGGATTTTCCGTAACAGTTTGAGATGTAGGTATATGAGTTGTTCTAGATGATAGAGATAAAGTGCTCCATTGATCAGAGCCACTTACTGAATGTATAGAAGATACTTGACAACTAGGATGATTGGAAAACGAATCTGGCACGGGGGGACGGATCGACAAATTGGACCGACTAACACTGTTTTCCGAAATATGATTTAAATATTTATCTGGTTTATTGAGTTTGAAAATATACGCAGGTTTGGAACGCTGAACTGCTGGTAAAGGAGGGATTCCATTAACGCTTCTGTTAGGTAATACCGTATCAAGGACTTGGGTAGAACTTGGTGGACGACTATCACTTCCAAGAGATCCAGGAGAACTATCAGAGCCTGCAGATCCGTAACCTGAAGAACCCTGCGAAAGGAACTTGGTAGACTTCCCCTCTAGTAGGTGAATAAAGTTTCCTGAACTCTGATCAACGACTGCGTTTTCAGTCTTGAGAAAATGAGTATTCTGACCTGTAGAAATTTGTTCATTAATTGTCAACGAAGATAATTGAGGGGAAGTATTTTCATTAACGAAATAATCAGAAGTTACTGAAGATCTATGAATGATGAACTGTGCTTGCTCGTTAGGATCACTATTAACCTTAGGTGCTGCCACTAGTGATACGTCTACCTCAGCTTGATTATTTACATTTTCCCATGATGCCTTTTTCGAATCAGAAGAGTCATTAAGAGAAATATTACTCACTCCCCTGGAAATGTCTGGACTAAGAGTGGTCACTGAGTCGGGAGATTCAACTGTGTTGGTTAAACAATTCACAGACGATGTAGTACTTGTAGGAGTTTTGCGATCCCAACTACTGGTCATCGTTTCATCCAGACATTGTAGGTGTGGTAACGGTAATCCTTTAAGCCACTCCAGTACATCAAAGGGTTCTTTGTTGTGTCGAACAAAAAATCCAGTACTCATTAGTGAGCGATATTTTGGGCGTTGAGTGTGGTCCTTAGTCAAGCTAAAATTTAAAAGGAAAATAATATCGTAAATGCTAAACAAATTAGCCAAAGAAACAATTAACTACTTACTTTTCCATATTTACGAGTCTGGCTCGCAGACCGTCACTGCTGCTACCTTGACGTGGTGGTCGGGCTTGCCTATTGTGGTGACACAACCGAGCTATATTGGATGGAACATATGGTCCTGAAGGTCCTACTATGCCAGGCAGGTCGATTGGAGAACGATAAGACTAAAAGCAGTTACCCAAAGTCTGAGAGCGAAGTCGTACTGCTGATTGCAGAGGGGTGTGACAGCAGTAAGGAGTTTCCCTCGGATAACCGGCATCTGCAACGACGCTACCTTCTCACAAGGAAGGCAGTCGGCGGTTCGGCATACGCAACACATGTCCCAACCACCTCAACTGGTGAAGTTTCAATACTTCATCGATTGATCTGCCATTCTTGCCTAGCACCCGATTCCTAATAACAGCGTTGCTTACTCGGGTGTCCCACGATACACGAGCGATGCTCCTAAGACATCTATGATCGAATACTAGTAACCTACGAATATCTCCTACTCTCACTGGCCATGTTTCAGACCCATATAGGAGAAGGGAGCGAACTACTGTGAAGTACACTTGTCCTTTAGTCAGCAAACGGATATCTCGCCTACTCCACAAATAACGTAAATTGGCAAAATCCTATCGAGCTTTCTGTATCCTTGTTGAAATTTCGTCACCAACCAGGCCATCGGGACTGATGAGACTCCCCAGATAAGTGAAGCGGTCGAGATGCTCAACTACTTCACTCCCTATCACTAGTTCAGGTACCGATGCAACCCAATCTTGAAGCAACATTTTGCATTTCGAGGGGTAGAGTCGCATCCCGAATATGTTTGCATTGTTGCTTAGGGTGGTCAGAAAACTGCATTTTGTCAGCGTCTCCACCGAACAGGACTATGTCATCGGCATATTCTAGGTCAGTAGGCGATCCTCCTGGTAGAAGCTCTACCCCTAAACAATCTGACAAGGATAATGTTAACTCTTAAAGTATGTCTACGACAAAGTTAAACAAGAATGGGTAAAGTGGACATCGCTGACGGACACAACTTGAATCGAAGAATTCCGATGACAGTTCGCTATAAGCTCTGACTCGACCTGTAGTGTTCGAGTAGAGAGCTTTTATGAGGTTAATGTACTTATTTGGTACACCTTTCAATGACAGACACTGCCATAGAACCTCACGAACCACTGAGTCAAATGCCGCTTTTAGGTCCAGGAAAACAACTACTGTCGGACGCCTAAATGTGTATATGTTTTCCAGGACCTGTCGTAGAGTGAAGATGTGGTCTATACAACCACGTCCAGGTTGAAAACCAGACTGGTTTTCTCTAGTCTGCTCTTCACGAGCTCTAGTTAGGCATCTAAGTACAATCGACGCTGACAATTTAGATACTTTAGTAGTTAGACTGATTGCCCTGTGATTTTCACAAGAAGACTTTTGTCCTTTCTTATAAATTGAGACAATCAGTGATTGAGACCACTCGGACGGGATTACGTCCAGTTCCCAGATTCTACCTAAGATCTCAGTCAATCTAGCTGCTAAAACTGGACCACCATCCTTAAATATATCAGGGGTCAGTCTATCAGGACCTGCAGCTTGTCCTCGCTTCAGATTTCCTAATGCGTTTTCAACTTCATTAAGACTAGGGGGACTTACGTCGATTTGCCATTCAGGATGACTGGAGATCGTGGGTAACCGAAGAGTGGCTCGAGGCCAGTTGAACTGATCCCTAAAGTGTTCTGCCTATCGATCTAGTCTCCTGGATTGAGAATAAATAATAGTCCCGTCATTTTCTGAGATAGTCTCACTTACACTAGGGTTCCTAATACCAGTTTGCTTGATAAGTCGGAAAAGTTGTCTACTGTTGCCGATCACCGCTGCCTTTTCCATCGCCTTTGCTTTCGCCACCCACCACTGTTCACGGTCGTTGCGTAGGCTTTTCATAAGTCTGCGCCTAAGTTGACTTCGTTCTTCATCATGTTCAGAGCCAGGTGGGATGAGTTTTCGGGCATCCAACAGATCGGTGGATGCTACTGAGATCCACGGCTTCATTCTAGCCCAATGGTTTACCTTACTAGCTGATATCACTGCTTTTTCTAAAGGCTTTTTGATATTATTCATACGTGCCTCCGGATGGGAATCTCTTATATGGTCGCCTAATCTAGCTGCTAAATCTGGACCACCATCCTTAAATATCTCAGGGGTCAGTCTATCAGGACCTGCAGCTCGCCCTCGCTTCGGATTCCCTTAACTCTTTCTCAACTTCATTAAGACTAGGGGGACTTACGTCGATTTGCCATTCAGGATGACTGGAGATCGTGGGTAACCGAAGAGTGGCTCGAGGCCAGTTGAACTGATCCCTAAAGTGTTCTGCCTATCGGTCCAGTCTTATTTATTGAGAGTGGATAATAAGACCATCCTTTTCCGAAATATTCTCACTCACATTTGGGTTACTAATACCAGTTTCCTTGATGAGTCTAAATAGTTGCCTATTGTCGTCCATCGCCGCTGCATTTTCCATCTCCTTTGCTTTCGGACCTCCAAAAAGCTAGGCGCTCTGATATTGTATTAATGTCTGGTGACTTCAATGCTCAAGTAGGTAGACTAAGTGAGCAGGAGAGACACCCAGGTGGATGTTATGGTGTCACGGCTCAGAGAACAAACAATGTTGACCCTCTGTTGCATCTGCTTTCAGATAACCTACTATTTCTAGCAAACACTAACTTTGGGCATAACGAAAAGCATCTGTTGGCCTGGCGACCTAAGTCATCTCAACGTTGGACCCAACTAGATCACACTGCCATCAGCCACCGATGGAGAGGTTCGATAGAGGACTGTCGCTCGTTCTGGGGCACATGTTTAGATTCAGATCATGCCCTAGTGCGAGCGCGTATTTGTTTGAAGCTTACTGGACGTAAGAAAGACACCGTAAGGAAGCCTCTTAGGGTTTTACTTAATGATAATAAGGCGAAGAATATATTTCAGGAACAACTAGGAAGACAGTTAGGCGACTATTTAGATTCCCATCCGGAGGCAGGTTGGAATGATACCAAAAAGGCTTTAGAAAAAGCAGTGATATCAGCTAGTAAGGTAAACCATAAGGCTAGAATGAAGCCGTGGATCTCAGTAGCATCCACCGATCTGTTGGATGCCCGAAAACTCATCCCATCTGGCTCTGAACATGATGAAGAACGAAGTCAGCTTAGGCGCTGGCTGATAAAAAGCCTACGCAACGACCGTGAACAGTGGTGGGTGGCGAAAGCAAAGGCGATGGAAAAGGCAGCGGTGATCGGCAACAGTAGACAACTTTTCCGACTTATCAAGCAAACTGGTATTAGGAATCCTAGTGTAAGTGAGACCATCTCAGAAAATGACGGGACTATTATTTATTCTCAATCCATGAGACTGGATCGATAGGCAGAACACTTTAGGGATCAGTTCAACTGGCCTCGAGCCACTCTTCGGTTACCCACGATCTCCAGTCATCCTGAATGGCAAATCGACGTAAGTCCCCCTAGTCTTAATGAAGTTGAGAAAGAGTTAAGGAAATCTGAAGCGAGGGCGAGCTGCAGGTCCTGATAGACTGACCCCTGAGATATTTAAGGATGGTGGTCCAGTTTTAGCAGCTAGATTGACTGAGATCTTAGATAGAATCTGGGAACTGGACGTAATCCCATCCGACTGGTCTCAATCAATGATTGTCTCAATTTATAAGAAAGGACAAAAGTCTTCTTGTGAAAATCACAGGGCAATCAGTCTAACTAATGTAGTATCTAAATTGTCAGCGTCGATTGTACTTAGACGCCTAACTAGAGCTCGTAAAGAGCAGACTAGGAATCGGGTGCTAGGTAAGAATGGCAGATCAATATATGAAGTGGTGAAACTTCATCAGCTGAGGTGGTTGGGACATGTGTTGCGTATGCCGAATCACCGACTGCCTCGACGAGCTTTTTTTGTAGTGTAGGAATAGGTTGGAAGAAAATTAAGGTCGGTCAAACCAAAACATGGCAGAAATCCATGAAGTCGCTGACAAGTGGACTGAGTCATGTCGGTAGGTGTCGAATAGCTGGTTGGGGTCCGCGAGATGATAATAATCGATGGCTAGAGACCTTGAATGACATGGCTCAAAATCGTTCGCAATGGCGCCGGTGCATTTATTCTCTGTGTTCTCTCAAATCCTAATCTTCTGGATTCTTCAACCCCTCTAGTTTTGAGTTTCTAAACTTTTCTCATTTAACCATACTTCTTGGATAATATCTTCTCGTCCTAACCTTTCCGATTACTTCTAATACCCGTACTAACTGTTCTACTATTGGATTTGAATTGACAATTACATCTCTGTGCTGATGTGGCGACATGAACTGATGTACTTATGTACAAAGTTCTACGTTGCAACTGACTGACTGTCTAGAAGAGCTTTGTTTTGTAGTGTAGGAGTAGGTTGGAAGAAAGCTAGGGGCGGCCAAACCAAAACATGGCAGAAATCCATGAAGTCACTGACAAATGAACTGAGTCATGTCGGTAATTGTCGACTACCCGGTTGGCGTCCGCAAGATGATAGTAATCGATAGTAAGAGACCTTGTATGACATGGCCCAAAACCTATTCCAATGGCACAGGTGCATTCATTCTTTGTGTTCTTTCACTTTATCTTTATCTTTTAAAGTCTTTTTCACCAGATTCTACCTCTTGAATAATATCTTCGGATCGTGATCTTTCCGATTACTGCTAATACTTCTACTACCTCTACTAACATGGGATTTGAAGTGACAGTTGCGTCTCTTTGATAATGAGGTATGGCAACCTGAAATGATGTACGTACGTACAACGTTCTACGTTGTAACTGACTGACTGACTGGTTATGCACGGTCATAGCGACCTGGAAGTGTGATCGCAGAGCCCAGTGAACAACTGCTTGAGGCCGGTTATGCAAGGTCATTTTATGGGAGGTTTTTAACGCATCAGCTCTGCTCTTCAAAAGGCCCTACCGCCGGAGACGGAAATCGGTGAGGTAAGGTGAGGTGTGTCATTTTTAGGGTTGACATTTTCTAACCCTGTTCTTTCGTACGACTTCACCCTCAAACTTTAAGTTTCTGTTTTTAGTCTTACCGTTCTCCAATCGACCTGCCTGGCATGGTAGAACCTTCAGGAAAATATGCTCCAACCAATAGAGCTCGGTTGGGTCACTACGATAGTAAAGCCCGACCACCAAGTCAAGGTAGCTGCTGCGGTCGGCTTTCAAGATTTGACGGGTTTATAGAGATGACAACACCACACGAATTTCCAGTTCGAAATAAAATTAGTTTAAACACGAAATCTTTCACAACTAAATTAATTCTAAAAAACCTTTCAGCAAACAGGAAGTACCAGATCATGAGGTTTTTCTATTGAACTATAGCTAACAACATGGTCCACATTAACAAATCGATACGGGCATGATAAAGTATAAAAAAATATGTTACTTTGCAAAATGATGTATAAGAACACGGAATAACCGAAACATAACAGCATTAATCAAACGCTAATAAACTCACCACAGCTCGATGAATTGGCGGAACGCAGGGGTGAAAGGTATGTGATGCGGCAATGACGGAGGTGGGTCTGATATTATTTTAGTCATAATAGCAAATTCAATATGAGTCCCGGTATATGGAAATGATCCAGTCGCCAATTCTAACAATGATATTCCAAGTGACCATATGTCCGCACGAACATCATATGTTGAGTTGTTCAAACGTTCTGGCGCCATATAACCAGTGCATCCCGGTTGCCTCGAGCGGGCAATCGAATCTTTAAGAATTCCACTTATTCCAAAGTCACATAACTTAATCACACCTTGGTAACTCAAAAGCATATTAGACGGTTTAACATCTGGGACTTAGTGAAATTAGAGCATTACCTCTGTGCATAACATTATGTTTCCGTTTCAAATAGTCCAAAGCAGTTGTAATCTTCAGAAAAGATTAAGTGAACGGAAACGGTCTTACGGAAACAGTCACTTTCCCCAAAACTTTTTCGGGGAATGGACGATGGAGATCATGATACAGCTTGTCTAAACAGGTTGACATGACTTCCATGCATATCCAGACGTCACCCTGAAGCGTAAAAAAAATAAAAATGACTCACCCCAGAGAAGAATATTCCATAACACTCGACGATAAAAGAACAATCGAAACTCTTTGTGACAATGTTTAGATCCATCATTATACGCTTATTTTCTTCTTCATATGTAGATGACATTCTCATTTGTTTAACCGCCATCACTATATTCGGTTTAGTACGATGTCGCATTTTATACACAGAGCTACATGTTCCAGAACCTAGGCAGCCTTCGTTAACAAAATCATCTGTTTTAGCGAGCAAAACCTAAGCCAAAAATCATAAAAACAACAAATACCTTGTTCCCAAACAACAGAACACCACTTCTTTTGGTTATTTCCTTTTGCAATGATTCGAAATCGTATCTGTGTTGGATGAGTTATTAAAAGATGCTACAAACCTGTCATTCTGTTGGGTACTATTAACAGAAGCATCCAGCTGCCGACTTTTTGAACGATTCGCAGGGGATTCAGAACGATGTCTTTCACTGAGCACTATACGGAACGGATTATTAATGAAGTATGAAAACTACAGGCTGTAGGGCGCTGAAAACGGGCCATATCCCTGCGTGCGGAACTGACAGGTTTCGAATTAAAATTGTCATATCCCGATCCATTCTCAGAAGTTGCTAAAAACCGTGGAGCTGAACAACCAACCGAGAGTTCATTTGACATAGGTAGACTACTGCGCCATAAAAGATCTAGCCTCTGACAGGTTTAAACAAGGTGAACCATTTCGAAAGTATTTTATTAATGAAGTGACAGACATCACGCTTGTAGAAAAGGTGGAATATTGATCTTCATATATTGGCTTGTATATAGAATTCACATCAAACATAAGGACATTCCAGGGATCTTTATTTAAGACTAATGTAATCAAGCAATATAAATGGCATCATTTTATTGATTTCGGATTGAATTCCCCATATTCTCCTGTCAAAAATTAAGTTTACTTCAATTTTATTTCGGGCATCATGACTTCGTAGATTACCGAAAGTATTATGAAACCTTTAGCTGACACTGGAGACTAATTTTCAGTGATTTTCAACTTTCAATTTAGCACTACCAGCTTGTCTAATAGAGCGAATTATTCATGTTTGGTTACAACCCTCTATGTTTTCTACAAGTTGTATAACTAAGAATGCATTCTTAGTCTATTAAATCAGTCATATACCAAGCTAATCAGTTGAATTCCCTACCAAGTAGTGACGAATGAACAATTACTGCAAACAACTTTGTTGATAGCAGCTACAAACCTCAAATATCTGCATCTAATAACAAAATTTTTCAGAGTTTAATAGTTGGAAAGTGGGTTTGAAAATAAACAGCAATAATGAATAATGTTATTACTTCACACGTCACAGCTTTGTGAATAGAATTCAATTAGTTGCTTTAAAATAAATAAATCTGCAGAAGAGGGACGATTCTAGCATCCAGGATGCTTAATAAGCTGTCGATCCAAAAAGCTTCAGAAAAATCTTGAACTCAGTGGTAGTTTACCCTAAAGTGCGAAAGTACTTCAGCTATAAATCACTATCGTTTTCAAACTTAATGTACACACCCAGACGATGGTGATTAGATTTATCTTTGACCAAAACAACTTACAGTTGTTGTCTACTTATGCCAATCAGGTGATGCAAGGTGCTATGTTAGAAATACATTGGTACTATTCTTGCGTGGCATTTTTGAGATATTCCTCCAAGAACACATGATGCCATTTAGTTCCACCTCTAGAACCACCATCCTGTAATGTAGAGAACCTATGTTGTCGATTAACGTCAGCTTATAGTAAACATATGATGCATGATTAGCCATGCTAAGGATTACGTCGTAAGCATATGAATATTTCAGTTGCCTTTTGTGAAATGCGTTCTATCTGTGAATTATCCAATTCTTCAGTGGCCAGTGAAAATGTTTGGAGCTCTCAATGGCTTAGGCAGATATTATCGACTTACTTTCTTCATTACCCACGATCTAGAAATCTGGTTTGCGGCACTTAAAACCCAGATTGAGTTTCACTGCATTTGGAGCCAGTGGCAAAGATACGCCTACGTTCTGAAGACTTTACCAGGGGAGCATGTTGCAGCTGTCCTTGAGGTTATCCTCACCCCTAATGCACGTAAGGTTTACGATCGTCTCAAAGAGGCGATTCTCAGACACTTCCTCCAGTCGAGGGAGGAACATCTGAGGACTATGTCACCAATTCACCCTATGGGTGATAATAAATCTAGCTGCCACCTCACATGCCTGCAGTCTTTGGCATGACCCTCGGCAGCTGACCCTGTTGTCAAGGGATTGTGGCCCGAAGCTTTACCAGCTCACATACAGCCTACGGTCGTAGCCCTGCCTAAGGACTCACCACTTCCCTATGTTGCCCTCATAGTAGGCAAAATAACTGCGAGGACTAGCCTCAGGGACAACCATAAAGTTGCCTCAACGTCACAAACAGATGCCGAAGTTTCTGTTGGACCAATATGTAACGGCAAGCCTCGATCTACGATGATTTTACTACGTGTTGTGAATGGTTGTCATTCCTACTTGTGGTGCATGACAGCTAACGGTCAACCTGAGCAAAGGACGATAGCTTCTGTAGACATTCATCATTACCGACGTTTCCACGGCCATACTCAGTATCGATTTCCTACAGTACTACGAATTGCTGGTCGGTAAACGTAGACTGCACTTAATCGTTAATTCATCGAACATCAAATTTGTTGGTTTTAAAGCTCAGACAGATGCGTACCGAATCGCATTTGTAGTTCATTCGCTTGACGATGTATTTCACACTATATTCGAGAAATTTCCCCGCGTAACCAAACCTCTCATGCAGATCCAATCGGTGGCTAATCGTGTAGTACACTACATCGTCACACGTGACCACCAGTCACGGCAAAACCTCGCAGACCATCATTGGACAAATTAGTTTTCGCTAAACGTGAGTTCGAAAGTTTACTAGCTACTGGTATAACTTGTCCTTCTCATAATCCATGGGCCTCACCTCTCTACATGGTTCGCAAAAAGGATGGGGTTAACCAGCAACCATGCGGCGATGCAATGACGGAGTACACTTACCGTCCACACTCAAGGAACTGAAGGAATATGCGGTCTGCTTAACTTCTACCGACGTTTCGAACATTAACAGACCTACTTCGCAGTAATCCACGAAAATTAGAATTAGACGATGCCACGTGTACTGAACTTTCAGAGGTTAAATCAGCTTTGGCTCAAGTAACACTCCTCGCTCATCCTGACCGATCGGCCACGTTTAGAAAATTGGTCGGTGAGTGGGATTTTGCCATAGTAGCCGTTATGCAACAGAGTATGTCCGGAAGTTGGCAACCTCTCGAATTTTTCTCACGATGCCTCACTCCCACGGAGACGAGATATACAGCTCTTGGTCGAGAACTTCTAGCAGCCTATTGTACCATCAAACATTTCCGGCACACAGTAGGTCGCCACTTTATCCTCTTCTTCGACCATAAGCCGCTAACATATGCTCTACATACCAAGTCTGATCGCCACGCCACGACATAGCAGACATTTGAACTATATCTCTCAGTTCACAACAGACCTTCGTCACGTTAGAGGCGAGTCGAACTATGTCGCTGATGCTCCCTCGCGTATCCAAGTGAATGCAGTTATTTTACGGTGCTTGATCTCCCTGTCGCTCAAGCATGTGGTTCCTCTTGTACAGAAGCACTAAATTCTACATCCCTTCAGTACCGAGAAGTGCCTCTAGCTAGTAGCTATCTTGTGTGATACCTCAACTGGTCTTCACAAACCCGTCGCACCTTTTGCTTATCGCGGTCTCGTCTTTGATACCCTTCATGGACTGTCTCATCCAGGCATCGCAGCTACGTTACGTCTTACTTCCTCATGGTACATAAGGCTGTCCTTACCGTTTGTCGTGTTAGTTATGGGAACGAGCTTAGAGACAGATATCCAATGTTCCGTCGCTGAACTTATATTTCGCACGACATTGTGTCTGCAAATGGAATTTTTCACACCACTGAGCAGTATTAATTTAGATGGGCCGAACTATTCCGGATGATTGCCTGAGTAAAAGCGAACACTGCATCTGGTGTCAACTTGAATACAGCATCTACAGGTCGCTCTCCCTCAAGAGTTATTCACCTGTTCACGTAGTCGGGACCAGAAAATTGACTGAGTGCATTGACAACAGCGTGGGTGACCAGGTCAGTAATTGCCAAAATTGACTGAAGTCGATCGTACAAACGCGATGTTCAAACATTAAAAGCTGCAACATGCAGTTTAGAATGGGGTTACGGGAGACCAGCAGTAGCGTTTCGTGTACGCGAGTCGTTTGCACTAGCGGTGAGGGGTGATAAAGGAACTTGAGAATTTTCAGTTATGGAGGTAACAACGTTATTAAAAGTATGGAGGGGATTTGATTCTGAATAGTTTGGTCTCATATGTTGTTCCGAGCTTGAGGACGGTTGGCACTTCCTGGTTGCCCACACAGCAGAAGGGTAGTTGTTGAGAAACCTGAAAAAGAAGTTGGCCTAGTGTTGGTCATAGCGACCTGGAAGTGTGATCGCAGAGCCCAGTGAATAACTGCTTGAGGCCGGTTATGCAAGGTCATTTTATGGGAGGTTTTTAAAATATGGAAAATATGCTCCAACCAATATAGCTTGGTTGGGTCACTACGATAGTAAAGCCCGACCACCAAGTCAAGGTAGCTGCTGCGGTCGTGATACTTTGAGAAAGTTTGTATGCTACTAACTTAGCTTCCTTAAACCTACAATATCAAGGTGAAAATTTTCTTCCCTAGGTACCTTCTCAGGTTGTCATTCTCACCTCACTTATGTGGAAATCCACGCCCTTAATTCCTTAATTGTGTGGGTCGATTTTAAACGGCGTCTTCTTATCAAGGATATCGCTACTGAAAAATCGGACCTTGCATTCGTTGAACGATCAGTCGCCCTTCAACTATTACACCAGAATGAGGATGCCAGCTTGTTCGTCATCCTAATAAATGTGAAGGAATCACAAGAATGCGATCCGCAATCCAGCTGTCTAGTCGAACGCTTTCGCCAACAGTGGAAATTCTCGCTTCCAGCTATAAGCGTACCTGAATGGACTGAAGGTCTTCCACTCGTGCTACCTGTAATTCACGATGAAGTAAAAGCCGACTTGGGGTGATTTCAGCAATTTATATTCTCTCCTCCTCCGGAGTCATTTCTCTGTTCCCTTCTCTGCTGAAGCTGGATTATCTCCTGCCGCAGCAGATTGTTGCCGGTGGTTTCTGGGCAACGAATTTGAATTATATGGAATAAAAACTGCTTTTTATACACTTCTATCTTTTGGCTGATGGTTGTAGGACTTCCAGCTATCGAGACGTTTTTATTGAAAGTTTTGAATTTGTGCTTGCTGACAGATGTCTTGGGTTTTAGCTGTTCTTCAGTTAGAGATATGTTGACTTTGCATTATAACTCATAACTTCATATTTGCATCAGATCGTTTCTGTTGACCAACTACGCAAACCGATTACACAGTTCTTGCCTCATCAAGAGTTTCCTTCAGATCAGTAACATTCTGATGAAGATTCTACGTTTTGCTGTCAGTAGTGCGATGACTCCGTATTTATAACACCTGCTAAGACCTACTTTGTATGGAACATACTTACAGCTACGTGAGTCTGAATTCAGTGCTTCAGCTGGTATGTTATCTAGTCCTGC